GTCTGGACAGGAGAGACAGGTTCTAATGCGGATATGTCTCTCTCCCCTTCCACTCCCATTACCCATCCTTTGACTTGACACGTCGGATAACCCCTTCGCTTATCTAAATTACTCGCAGTTCTGGGCAAAAGGCTATACTTTGCTCAGTGAAGCGGCAAGATGAAGCCCCTCTAAAGTGAAAGAAGACTTACATCTAAGTGGACAGGGCTTGCGCAACTTGTTCCTTCTGTAATATCCCCATCAGGGTGACGGACACTCCCCAACATTATCAAAAGCACAACACTCCACACATTCCATTTCACGCCTCGACGATTTCACCCATACGAGAAAATCATATTGCAAACCTAGTCGAGGGATATAACGTATCGTTCACGGCCTGTAGGTATAGATAGCCTTTTCATCAGCGCTTGGCCTCGAATCGGACGAAGAAAGATGGAAAAATCAATCTGGGATTAATGGATCGAGACCCTCACGTCCATGAATCGGATTAATGGCATTGGATTCCTTTCAATCACTCCAAGAACCACTCCGTCAAGCCTTTCGGCTGTGACGCAAGTGAAAAAATCCTCTCTTTGGTTCTGCTTCGACAGAATCTGATTTCCTTTTTTTTTGTCCGGCGATATACTGTATGTTGCAACTTTGGCCGTGAATTTCGTGCTCGGTTGAAGTTTTCTGGGAAAGCTACATAATAGGCTGAAATTTGTATCAAGTACGTATTATATGTCCGTCTTCATACAGGGTGGGCGAAAAGTCGCGTTACCCCAGAACTGCGCTATGACTAACGCCTTCACGGCTTCAGTCATAGTGGCACAGCGGTGAGTCGGTATAGTCGCAAGCACGGCGGACACGAGCTCTTATTCGATCGAAGAAAGAATGGTTGCCAGCGTGTGGGTTCACGAAAGGCCTGTCACAGATCAAAGCATGCGTGATATCAGGGCAGCATTTAGGGAACGGTTTGAGAAAGAACCTCCACCCAAAATGACATTGTTGCTGTGGGAAAAACGTGCGTTTGAAACATGAAGTGCGAAAGATAGGAAACGCTGTGGAAGACCTGTTCCAAGAATGGACACGTGTGTTGGTGTGGCGGCGTCAATTGAACAGTCACCGAAGAAGTCGACGAGAAAATCATCTGAACTTGGTACACCGAGATCAACCGTGCGTGATCGCATGAAGAAGGACCTTCAGGTGAGAGCGTGGCGTTCGCTCTGTGTCTGTAAGTCTGCGTGAGTACGCACGTGGACCTATGTAACTGCGTAAGTTTAGGGGTAACACGACTTTTCGCCCACCCTGTACTCTTGTGAGAGAACCGCGAACTAAGAAGTCACCTCACGTCCAAGTAGAAAATCGGAATGGCTTTGGAAATGTGGAGTGCAGTCCTACGCATTTGCAACATTCAGAAGAGCATAAAAAATGAATTAGTGCAACATTACCATGGTAATTTATGAGTAGCCGAGGCATGTACTTGGTACTTCCTGCTTCTCCCTGCCCGAAGCGGTCGAGATAAGAGTGCATCGGAAGAAGGAGGGAAAAGTTCGTCCTATCTGCATGGAGAAGAGCAATTTAGCACGGAGGAGAAGATGCGGTTCATTCCTCGTTAATGGGGTTGTCCATCACCATCAGAGTGCGTGCCTCATCCTTCATGCAACTTTCCCAGACAAAATGATGGACGCCTGCACTCCCGCTGAAGCAATTACTCACACATCAAGGGCGAGGAGCATGCATTTCCCTAAATGCCGGGTTCTCGGGATGAAATTCAGCACCCGATGAGACGAGGAACAAAGGGGGAAATTATTCTGGAAAGGGGCCGCATTGATATTCCGGTTTCGAGAATTCCTTTCGAGCACCCTTCACAGCATCCCTTCTTTTCAGATTTTTTCGTCTTTTCATTCCTCTTTCGCACTATCGGGATGTATAATGTAGCAGCCAATTTTATGAAGATCTTTCCGCGAGGAAATCTCGAAGGGAGAAGACAAATGGGCTAGGCATGCTCTATCGGCGAAAGGGTGCCCTCGCGGAACAAAGCTACAGACAAGAGCAAGAAAGGAGAAAGAAAAAGGCGGAACAAAGGAGGAAACTTGTCCCCGCACCAAGGTGTCATTTTCTCTTCTCGGCAAGAGAATCGAGCTTGTTCCGGCACTGCAGAGAAGAAAACGAGAAGGAAGAAACAATGGCGAAGGTCGAAGAGGATGCGGGAAAAAGAGGAGAAAAGAAGGGGAGGAAAAAGGAAAGAGATTCTTTCCTCTCTCGGTGTCGTCAAGACGACAACATTGATCCTTTTTTTTTGTTCCGCCTCGCAACCCAATGAGCCATGCGGATTCCCTCACCCGCCTCCGCCTCAATCATATCACATGATCAAATAATACCGGTATCACAAAAAAATTTAGATTAACATTCTGCTCTCCTAGAGTTTTGTGTCGCTTTTTCACCTTTCAATTTCTCCAAGCTTACACTGTATCGCTGATACATCTACGTATCGATGGAATGCTAATTATATATGATCAACGGCGTGGCGTCGAGGGGGCAAGGGCGGGCAAGGGGGGACACGTGACCCCCCCCCACTTTTCAAGAAAAGAAACCAAAAAAAAAAGAAGGAAAAGACCGAGAAATGCATGATAACAGTATCCCAGAGTTCCCGCACCCCCCCCCCCCCTCCGACACACTTTGCTTATGCATACTTATGATACTGAATGGTATCAATCACGTAACCAGGAGTCGGGGCTTTGTGGTGAATAAAAGAAATACGAAACTTGTTGAGAAGCAGATGATTCCAGGATCTGGAAACATCTGTGCTATGAATACGCCTCACTGGAAAATATATTTTAAAAGAACATTCTCGGAAATGTCAAGAATGCATTCAAGCAGTGAGGGGTGATGAAAGAAAACGCGTCTGAATGCATTCTGAAGAAGACTACCCCACTTCTTCAATCAATCCTACGGTCGGTATACTCACTCAAGAGGCTGTCGTGGATTTTCCCCGATTCTTTTCCCCAAGGCACTAATGAACTCGGATTCAGCTCCAAGTGGCATTCCCTCCTTCGAATCGACCTCATGGCCAAGGCGACGATGCAAATTCCACTCAGAAGCTCGTTTTTTGCCGGAACCAAATGAAGCCCATTCATGGATCTTCTGATGCTCCCAAAACTTCACATTTTCAAAAATCTTCAGGCTGTGACGTTCCGGCGAGGTCTTTTCCGCAATCTGGCTTCGGATTTTTTTAATTCATGCAAAAACACGTGCCTCCCGATTTCTGGGAGTCCTGTCGATCGATAGCAGATTTAACAATCGACACATTCAAGTTTCACTGAATCCGTGTCAGCGGTGAGAAATTAGAATGAAAAAAAAAAGTGATGGAGGACCGTTGGATGGCAATATTTTTCACGAAGTAGTACCAGTCGAGAACTTGGCTTATACTCTGACAGAAAACAAAACTCGAGGCCACGAACCTGCAAGAACACCTTTCAATCTCCCCGTGTTTCATGATCTAACTCACAAGAATCTCATGGTACATCCTAAAAGAAATTTTGGAGATGGAAAGAACCTTCAAACGGAACCGTCCATGGCAGGTCGTAGCGGAACAGAACGAATCAAGACAAGAGATACGCTGTAGTGAACTCCCACTGGGGAATTCCCCGTTCTTCTTCTTCCCTCGCATTGAATGAGATGAACAGATGATGCCGAGCAGAGGCCTGTCACTGACATTTCCTCTTTGGGGAAATCAAGCTGATTTTCTTTTTCACAGAACATCTACTCCGAAGGAAAGGGTCACGCGTATCTGCCTCCCGGATCGATGAACCTGGCAAACACAGGGCCTGGTACGCGTACGTGTACTCAGTAGATAAGTATGGAACGAGAACGGACTGAGGGAAAATCGGGGAGAAGTAACCACTTCAAGCACTCATGACTAATAAATCGGTAATTTTTTGCGTCATTCAGCATTGAGGGAATATGAGATGCATGTTTTGAAATTGATGACAATGGAATTTTTTCATTTGCCTAAGATGCTCTCCTAATGTACACAATATTTAGCCCCCCCCCCCGCATGTGGAGACCACTGGTAAATTTTTGACAAGAGAGGCTCTTTATTTCTGGAAAGTAAACTTAACTTTGAGTATGCTGATATGTTCATGACATTTTGTAGGCCCACCAACAGAATTTCTACACAATTGCCACCTCAGATCTTCGTGCTCTGAGAGCATGGAGACAGGATTCCCAGAAACTTCACTGCTGTGCTGGAAGACTTCGAAGACAACTCCGCACTCTTCGAGACATTTCTAAATTGTTAACCCTCACGGTTGTGAGTGAGCTGAAATGTTGGTGGACGTACTAAATTTCGATGACATGTCAACAAACTCAACCATGTGTGGTTTCCAGAAATAAAAATATTTTATTGCCGAAGTTATGCATGTCGGCTTCACTGGGGAGGGGAAAGGGGCATCCCATAGTGCATGAATTAACTAAAATATATATATTAAACTTTTTAAAGGCATCCTGATAATTTCCTCAAGATTCATGATTTCAAGACTGTTTCAATGATATAAGTTTCTGCTTGTTACCTCGAAGCAACACCAAGCACTTCCGGTAACAAACATGGTAAATAGAGTCTCTTTTGGCATGAAACATTGTAAGCCACTTTAAATTCACATTCACATGATGTAATATATGGTTTCCTCTGTTTCCCGACAGGTGTGCTGTCTGACATATGGCGGGAGCAAGATCCATTTCCCTCGGCGGACTGAAGCAGGAAAAGAAAGTCTGGCATAAGAAGATTCAAAGATTCCACTCCACATTCGTTCCTTGCTCTGTACGCACGAAGGAATGTACTTGGGACAAAATTCGAGGATTTCATTTGGATTCCCGCTTTCGTATCGGACGAGAACAGGCATAGATGGACTTTTCCCTCGGCCGAGAATCCTCCTAATCCCCTATAAAGCGCTCTAGACCTTTTTCTGCGCTGTGTGCTTACTTTAGTTATTGGATTTCGGAGAGATGGGAAAACTCACGTGTGCAAGAATATCCGTTGACGTGTAGAACGTATCCTTCCCTGCAGTCGCATTCGTAGGTCCCGTCGTGTAGATTGAAGCATTCCTGCTCGCAGGGACTCTTCTGGTCGCACAGTCCTATCGAGAGGAAGAGAAAAAAAAAATTCAATCCATTTCCATAGATGGGAGGAATATCTAGACGACTTTCAATTTCCTTCCGTGGCAAAATCCGATTTGGGAGGACTGGATAAGCTTTTCTCCAATGCTGGGGAAAATGTTGACTCATTCACGGAAGCCTCATCAATTTCCTCGACTTCATTTCCTGTTCGTCTATGCTTCGGAATCGACGATGGAACGCAACCACGACCTCAGGCATTTACTAAGTCACGGAGCGAAATGAGATCTTCCCCTGATCAACACCTCCGGAGGGAAGAGGGAATTACGGCAGGAAATGGAGAGGGCCATGCATGCGGTCGATTGTAATTGTCCAGTAATCTGTTTTATGTAATCCAGTAATCTGCTATATCTACGCAAACTTTCCATCGCTTTGGATAATTTGTAGAATAACAAATCCGATCGCAAATGGTTTTGGTTTGATTAGAGACAGCTGGAGCAAACTATTCGCTCGTTTACCGTGACAGACCTACCACAATGTCATATTTATTCTCTCCCTAATTCTCAGGAATTTCTGGGGCATTCATTCATTGTAAAAGAAAGGCGTCGCAGGAAAAAAGGAGATAATCCCGTCATTTTTTCAGAGAAGCTCTCATATGGATCGTTAGGTTCACTACTGAGGCTGCATCACACGATGATGCATGCTCAAAGTGAATCATCCAGCAACATCTTCCTAAAGTTTCCATTGAATTGTCGGCAGAAGATAGAGAAGGCAAACTTCCAACACTGCTCTCTTATTTTTTTTTTTACACACTCTATATATTGCAGCTGCAGTTGAACATTGATAGCCCGGTTGCCCCCTTTCTTTCAACCTTGCAATCGCGTAATTCTTTCCGGGAACCTGAGGAAGAAAACAATAAATAAAAAATCTGGGGATTCCCACTCCCCGCTGCAATCCCCCCTCCCCCCGCGTTTTTCCATTCTTTCCTGCCCACATGTGGGAGAGATTACGAAGAACTCCCAGAGGAAGAAACGATGGTGTTAATGGCTCCTCCCCACGCAATCCCCGTTTCACCTCATCTCCACTTTCTCACCTTCCCGGTCTAAATTATGGCCCGGGGAACGATCTGTTACCGAAGCACACGCCCTTGAATAATAAAGCATTGACGTCATCGAATCGTTCCTCCCGGTCGTAATTCATTTTTCATACACTTTTCTGGCTCGATCTTCGACGGCAAGTCATCGTTAACTTCCGAATGCCGTAAGAAATTGGCTCTTTTAACCAAGGATGGGGGATCCATCTTTGTCACGTCACGAGAAGACTTGCACGGCCGCAAAGGAAGACTTGTCCCATCCATCTCTCGGGGTTCTAGAGTCCAGGGTTGCTTGGCTTTTCCTTCTCATCGCCCCGGGGAATTAAATGTCCGAGGTAGTGATTGACGTACAAGATTGATCCTAACAGATGATACGGAAGAGAATCTGAAATGCCGATATAGTTGTACGAGTGCACGTTTCACAAAATCGAATACTCTCTTATCATGACTATTCTCAGGCCTCAAGCGCGCGACGAACTGCACAGTAAAATTTAATGACTATCAAGTTAATATGTCGGAACATAATTAGATGAGTGTCAAGTTAATGACTTGCAGTAATTACAAATAGAAACATCCATATCGACTGCCGCTTATTTCCTTAGAAAGTCACCATATTCCGCGACAGAGAAGTATTAGCATTTTAGTTTCACAAAAATCACGATTATCGCGCAAAAACTCCCACGTTTTGTGCACTTCGAAGGCCCTTAACCCCAAAAAGTCTTGCCGGTGGGCCCGGCCTCACGATTTGTTCCAGGGTTTTGCCGGTTTGGTCCACCGCATAGAGTGGAGGGCCCCAATCTGCATAACTTGAGGACTGTCACGACCACGTCGACAAGCTATAGAGAGGGGACTCTCGAATTGAATGGGACGGGAATCCTGCCGAGTCATGCATGGAAAATAAAACATGCATGGTGTTTCTCTTTTTCCCCCTCTTTTTCCGGTGGGGTCCTTTTGACGCTCTTATCGATCCCACCGGAAGTCCCAAACCGCAGGTCCCATTCAACGCTATCGCGAAGAGGGCACATTTGCACATTTGCACATTTGCACGCTCATTCGGCAGCACGCGAGCTCAAGCGATGCATAACCCAGAGGAAATTCTAATTATTACCACTGCAAAACTTTTCTATTCGTGACGTCATTCGGGGGCTCCCTCCACATGAATCAGAATAACCCAATACGAAAGTCTCTTTATATTTATTCATTCTAATGTAGGACCCGAGTATCGTGTAAAAAGTTCTCAAGCCGCTGCCTGGAATATATGCTCCGGAAAAAAAGGATTGCGAGGGGTTTCATTATTCATTCGAAATTGTCTCTCAGTCGCGCGATGTACGAAGAGTTTCAAACAGGTTCAGCTTCAAGAATATCTGGAAGGTTAGGTTATGTACACAGTTTTATTTGCAGGATCCCCCGCGGGAATAAGTGATGCTGATTTCACGGCCATTTTATGTATTTTTTAACAATGCAGAGAAACAGATTTGCCAAGGTTCCAGAGAGCACCAAGACACCGCGTAGTTGCAAGATATTTTCGTGTCATGCGTCAAATATTGCGGATCGAAAAAAAAAGGGATTTTACGTCTGGACTCCTCATGAGTGTCAAACTCATGAGGTATAACATGCAGCATGGCTCTTTTCGCTCATCAGTTCAGCTATAAAATAAATGGTACAAAAATTATTTGGACTCCATAATTCTAAAAATAAAAGGAGAAAACATTGGAAAAGGTTCCCTATATTTCGGCCAAGAGGGATGTGGAATTTCTTAGCAAAGTTACGAATATTAGAGGCTGACACTTTTTGCCCCCCGAAGTAAAGAAGTAGAGACAATGCCACTGTATTTACTCCTGGTTCTTTGGACATGGAGGAGGGATTCACGTCACCTGCAACTTACAATTCGAAAAACAAACAAGCAAGCACGAATTTGGGAAATTCCTCATGTCCCTTTAAATTGAACAAACCTGGGAATAAGTACGTTTCTTAAACTGTGATTCAAGTCCCTTTGTTTTCAATCCGATAACAAATGGCTGTTGTGCGTGCTGCAAAAAATCCCTAATCGCATAGCAATAAGGGATTGCCTCATCCCATTTCTCCAAAGTCATCGTTTTTCAAAGTCCTAATAGACTTAAATCATTTTTGTTGCTAGTTGCAACATTGAGAACGGTGTCCTGAAACCGATCGTGACTGGATCATATTCTCATGAAAAGGAAACAAAGAATTCAGTCAAACACTAAAGTTCACCGAGAGTTCATGCAACGTGCAATAGCTCGAGCAGCCTCAGATTCCTTGAGATTTTCATAGCTTGGCGACAATTTCTCCAACCTTATTTCGTGACAAAGAGAGATTTGGATCCCCCCCCCCACCAGTCAATATTTCAGCCATGCCTTTATGAACTACAAAGTCGTGAATCAGGGTACAAAATGGCTCATATTACACCGCGTTTACCCAGTCACGGAGAATGTAATAACATACGCGGAAAGCCAGGGCCTGGTTTTGCTTTTCCCACCCTGTTTGCACGGCATGGCCAGTGTCGCTGCCCTGGGCAAGAAACGGTTGAGAGAGCTGCAAATTGGCAGGAATATTTGTTTAGGTGGTGGGTACGAGTCTGCCTTTTGAATCCCACCTTTGTTCAAGGCAAATATCATTCCTTCATAAATGAAAGCAAGAGCCGAGCCTACAAAAAAAAACTCCCTCTTGCCTAGTCATATCTCACTCCATCGATTAGCCCGTGGCCACGTGTCTCGCCCGTTTCAAGGCCGTCTCTGCTGGATTTATCGGCGCCCCACGCGCCGAGCCTCTCCCGAGGGAGAGTCGAAGGGCCTCTGGAAATTCAATTCAACCTTGGGATTGCGTAATTCTCATGCACTGGCGGAGACGATGATGATGATTAGTGTGAGGATCATTATTATTACTATTATTATCTTTATCATCATAGCCATCATTCATGCCGGACCACCCCTGCTAAATGTCAAAGGGTAAGATAGCGAGTTGAAAAAAAATTGCGACTTGAATACCTTAAATCATTTTGAGAGTCTGATGCGACTCTGGCTCCGATCAGTTTGGCAAAAGGCATGGGCTTTCCCAGCCAAGCTGGTGCCAGAAATGTGGCATTTGGTTGCACTTACGGTGCCCAACTTCCTGTAATCAATTAGACACAGCTTGGTCCGCCAAAGGCATTCCATGCTGGGCGCCCCGTGGCTAAATGAATGCGGGAGAGTATGCTCATAAGAATACGAAATTACTTTGGAAATGGGACTAGGTAGGAGTGACCCTAATGATACGGCGAACAGATGTCATGCGTCAGCAACTCGGCGCGACGACTCTCGATTCGAGACTACCTCTTATGGTCTGGTCGACATGAAGCTTTTTCACGCACGAATTTGATCGCACGAGTTCAATGCACGCGACGACAACCTCATTAAGCCCGAGAATGCCCGTCGCAAGCCGACGCAAGCGCGTTGCAAGCGCTCCGCGGAAGACTGCATGGAAAGAGCGCAGCGTCGTCTGCTCGCCTCGATCGGGATGCAACGTCGTCTGCTCGCTTCCATCAGGATGCAGCGTCGTCTGCTCGCTTTGTCTCAGGAAGTCTTGATTTCCTCGGAGAGCTCCCCCTGGAGTTCTTCCGATAATCTGGAGCATCTGAGATTGCTCCTCGTGCTGAACCGTGATCGCGCCAAATTGCTCTTGCAGACTTTTCTCTTGTGTACAAGTTGACTTCTTCCTGATTTTCAGCATCACGGCGAGAGATAATGAAATTCCTCGGAGATCATTAGCGGCTGCGCAAGCGGTCGACGCTCCGTCCTCCATGGCCTCCAATAGAAGGAGGAGGAAGGGCGAAGCGCACGAAATCAAACTCATCGTTCGGACGGATGTCCCCGTGCAATTTCATTAGTGTTCAAAATCCGACTCACACGTGAGAACGCATCGGGTGGTTCAGGCATTACATGGCCACAGTGCACCGAGAATTCACCGGCTGAGCTTCGGGTTCAAAATTGGGGCGAATCAGCTCCACGGTCTCGACTCTCATTTTAATGATCATGGAAATGAGGTCTCCTTTCCCCCCAAGAGACGTCTAGAGCGGGTTGAACGAAACTAGGGAAATCGCGTCCCCTCGCTCTCTCCCTAATTTCTCAGGACATTCCTCCCCAGACCCTGTCCACCCAGCACTGTCAAATATTAATACAACCATCTCAGACTCATTCTGAACGGGAAACGACTGAAAGAACTCCTTTGTTCACCTGGCCTATCCCGATCGGCGAGACAAACAGCTCATGAATAAGCAATGGCGATTAAAAAGATTACAGAAGCTATTACGAAGATTATACGAGCACAAAAGACATCTTTCGAAAGTCGAATCGACAAATTGATAGCATCAGACACATTCTTGCGAAAAGGCCCCAGAGAGAAAAACACGTGGCACTGGCCAATATATCTCAATCAAGGACACCCAGGGTTTAATCTCACCCCGGAATGAGGAGAAAGCACGTCATGGATCAACGAGGGGCCTCATGGATCAACGAGGGACCTCATGGATAAACGAGGGACCTCATTTCGCGTGGCGGGGAAATGAGAGAGTCAATAATGTAAAAGGCAATTGGGCCTAAGTGATGGAACGGGAAGGGACTCAGATGCACGAGGGTGAACCCCGTAATTTCCCACGTCTCGTGGGAATCCCCTTCACGACTCACTCTGTGAATTATGGATCGATATATCTCAGAATGAACGATGAAGAAGCGCCGGGGAAAATCCATCGGGATTTCTATCTCCAGCGATGCTGCTTTCATAAATATTGCAGCTGGGAACCGATTGCACGACGAAAATCTGAATTATTAAAAATTACTTCCGGCTTTAGAAATTCGCCATAAACTACGAAGATGGGCGCTTCGACCAGGTTAAAAACCTCTTACGATCATTATTTCGGGTCCCCTTCGGCCACAGATGGGAGATAGTTGAATCCACTACCGATAATGACAGCCTTCACTATCAGATATGGGACTATCCATTAGCGCGGGGAATTTCCGTCGAGCTTTGAATCCGATTTTTCATGGCCACTTTGCCCGGGGCCGAGCCACGTGCGTATATCAAAGTTGGCACCTTGAATGTGAAACTACTGCACCCTCTGGGTTTCCTTTTAGTTCCACTCATGCCCATGCAATGGCAATTACGACAGCATCTGAAATATATCGCAGAATAGTTCCTATATTAACCATGAGATTTGGGACGCGTAGGACCAACATCGAGGTCACCATCGTCGCATTCTCATACATCATAGGCTCCAGAGAGACCGTGATCGACCTTGACGACCCCGAAGCGAATACTATTTCTGGCAATGACGTTGCTATTTGCACACCATCGATCACTGCACGCATACTATTCCACGCAGTGTTGTTCAAACACTTCCTGTTGCTATGCAACTTCGCGTCAAAGACAAAACCTGAACGAAAGAAATACTCGAAACCTCAAATACTCGAACGTGAAGTGTTTACGAAAGCGTGCACGTGCTTTTTGACCTAATGCTGGTTTAAAACCACTTAAAGGGAAAATTTAAATGCCCTGGCCCGTCTCCCCGAGACCTCATTTCAAAATTCTCTCGTTTATCACCAGGCTCCAGCACAAAAACGCTTGCAGGTCGACCTGTTCCCCCCTGGATATTCATGAGGACGGAAAAGCAAACACCAAGTTTTTCTCTTCCCTAACGCTTCGGAATGACCGAATGCATCTTTTGTCCCGCACATGGAAGAGCGGAGAGGACAGCCCATTCATGGGAGACAGGATACAGATGAGCTCCCCTTTTCCCCTTCTCTTGTCAATGGACCTCTTGTCAAGTGAGAGAGCTATTCTTCCCCTCCCCCTTTTTTTTTTTCCACCACCCTTCCAGTATCCCTCCCATTCAAGACTTCTATCCTCTCCTATTTATCTCCGTCGATAAAAGGGATTTTTAATCTCGAGAAATACCTCGAAGCAAAACGAGGACAGGGCATTTGTCCCTATTGCGTCTGTTTGCACTCTGCTCGGGGGGAAAAGGACAAGAGAAAAGAAATGGCGTGACACAAGAAAAATGGCGGGAAGGGATCTAAAGGAAGGAAATTAGGGTTAGCAGGGATTACCGTTGTATGCCAATCCATCATGACACCCATTTTCTCGCTCGGTCCTTTGCACACATTACATCGTTTCTCGATGTCATTTGACCTTCATCGTCCAGGTTAACAAACCCGATCCTTCTTCTCCCAGCTTTCCAAACGTGTCATCCATTGTATATATTTTTTTATTAATTTCCTTTTACGTAGTTCTATAATAGCAATTAATATTTAACCCATCCCATTTGTGGAAGACACGCTTTCGTTACCCACGAGAATGGACCCGTCAAGTGTGACGAGTCCAGGAAGGGGAGTCGTCCTCCAGGGGCACGACGAGGTCCCGGCCCAAGAAAGAACATTTTTCACCCGACGGGAGAACAACGAGTTTTCCGAGCTCCATTTGTGGTCTACGAGCCAGAAAAGCGGGAGCAACACGCCGTGCATACCAAGATCCCTTCGGGGCCCCTGCACCAGACCGAACCGTGGGTGCATGCGAAAAACCCGTGAAAGTATTCCCCTCGGGTACATTAGTCGCGACGCCCTCGTTAATGGCCGGCGCTATCCCATAATTCAGGTACCATGTATGCGTCTCGTTCTCGGCAATGAAGACGTTAACGTCCTCCTACGTGAACGAGCTCTTTCGTCACTTTCACCGCCCACTCGTCCCGTTACGTCACAGCTACTTAAGCCATTCCGCTCCAGTTCCGCAAGGGGAGGAGTCGGCTGCGTGCCATCGATCACCGGTCACTCGAGTGCGGAGGACCAAGAAAAGGGCATTTTCTCGACTCGGCAGGGCCAGCGAAGGCATGGAATCAATGCAGGCACGATTTCAATTTAAAAATTACCGGTACTGGTAGTGAAGGGTCGTACGTGCACGTGGTCTTCTCCATTACAGGGATTTTAATATTTAGGGGGGAAAATGCCAGAAAAAAATTAGATTCCTGATGCTTAATAGGATTTGTCTAAGCTTATAATAGCAAAGTTTTGACAGAGGAAGCCAAATGCGGGAATCTTGCGGGAATCCACCACATGGTAATTTCGATGCTGAGAGCTGAGTCTCCAAAAACTGGGCGATGGCAAATAAATTTTCTCTTTGAGATTGTCTTGCACGATGAACATATAAAGAAGTACGGAAATTCCGATCATGAACTGCCTCAGATGCCGGAACTTCGAATCAACCTTTGATTTTGGTTCTCCTTGGCATAAAATTCTTCGCGAAACTGTCACGACGAAACAGGCTCCTCGGGGGAGATACAATGAACCAAAAATATTTCTAAAAAAAAAAAAAACAAAGCCGGAAACTTTCCGAGAGCCTGACGGCATCATGCATTGTAACTGTAACTGTAATTGTAGGAAAGGGGGCAATTTACTCATAACTCATATCCCTCGTGAAACAAAGGAACAAGGAAACAAATCAGTAGAAAATGGTCGTATTGGGTTACTTTCTTTCGCGTGACAGGCTTCGGATGAGGCCACGGTAATGAACCTAATGATATCCTTCGATGGAACGAGTTTCCTTCTACTTGAAAAATATGCGATGCCGCCAAAAGAAATGCCTCTTCAAGTCTCATTATGTCATTCTTCATTAACATTGCGATAACGTCATTCTTCCGAACTAAGAGTTTTTCCTGACTAACCACGACGACCTGCCGGCACCACGATACACCTTTTTTTTTTTCACGGATACTTGTTTCCTTCGCCGCAAGGGGCAGCAGCAGGCGAAGGCGGCGAGGCGTGGCTGCAAGGATCCAAATTGAGTTAATCATCACTGTTAACTTCCTCTGATTAGCCCTCTTAATCTCGCAGGCGCCCCAGCTGCGTTTCCTCGTCAAAGTCGTCCTTATCGCCCATCATCGTCGGGAGTAACGATCCCCTGGCAGGTGGTGCTCCCACACGACCCCACGCGACCCCACGCGTGAATAAAAAAAATCGAGAATCCGAAATGATCAAGTCGTTACGGTAGGGACTCGTTCATGCACCCAGATGATCCCGGGACTGGAGATGGGGCCATTCGGCCGTTAAATGTCATTCTAGGCCTTCTAATTAGATTCCTGGGACCCCCCGCAATCATGAATACAATGTTGCCGAGTCGAAAACCCCTCGTCCCACGCCGCACCGGTCCACAACAGCGCACAGATCTGGAATGTCATCGCGGGGAATGGGGCTGCGGGGCTAGCATGCAACAGGAAAAGAAGAATCGATGGATCGATCGGGAAGAGGGCACATGCCCATCAAGGCCCATTCCCCATGGAACCATGGCAGCACCCCGACTCAAACTAACCCAGACGTACTCCATTATTAACAACACAGGCACTTGCTCTATGCTTTCCGGCGTTCGAGGATCGTGTTCGGAGTCGTTCTCGAGGCTGTAGAAAAATCGCCTCTTCCCGGAAGAATCCATCAGTGGGGCAAGGAATTGAATTATGAAAGAACGGAACAGAAGAAAAGGACTTCTTTTTCCATTGGGTAATTTCCACTTCCTTCTGATGCACCAGACTGGAATCACTTCCAAAAATTGTTTCTCTTTTCACGCCGGAGTGATCGTCGAATTCCTGTTCTTTTCACTCAATTTCTCTCACTCCCTGCTTTGTAAATGCGGCAGCCTTGGTCTTGAGTCTTAAAAAGGAGGATTTTTTCAAATTTCGGCTTCGTTCCAGTAGAACTCCCGTCTCAAAGAAAACTGCTGTTTCAATAACTCTGGTTGCATTGTCTTCTTTTGTTGAATAAAAAGGAACCGGAAGAACAAAAATTAATGAGACATTTTAATTTGAATTTCAAGTCACATTTTGGGAGAGGAATTCGAACAGAGTCTATGCAAGGAATGAATTTTTTGCAACCCTGCCTCAAAGTCCTAATTGAACTGGAGTTGATTACAACCGGATCCTGACTGGAATTCGCTTTCGCGCTAATAAAAACTTCCTCTGCTTGGACATAGAACCCGCGTCATCTTATTCCATTCGCCTCTATTGAAGGCATCTCCCATCGTGATGTTGTTAATGCAACATGCAACGACCAATTAATGCAACGAATACGGATTTCTTAGTGCTTGTAGGTTATTCCCTCCCGAAAATTAAGCTTCACGAAGGAGCGATCAATTTCGGTTATTTCCAATTCTCTCAGCATTCTTTCCGGATGGACAAGGAAACGCACTTCACGATTCAACCTCAACTCAGTCGACCTAAATTTAAATTTAAATTAAAAAATACTTGACACTTTATCATTAGCCTTTCCTCTCACAATGACAGGGTGACCTGTTCGCATGATATATAACCCATGTTTTTGGCACCACTAGAACTAGAGATGCAAGAGATGGCTGGTACTCCTGTTCGGCTTGAAGAGTGGTAAAACCAGTACATGTCTGTACTAGTCAGGCAGTCTCAGGAGAGAGAAAGAGAGAGAGAAAAAAGAGGCAACGTCTGGAAAGATTAATGGGAGTTCGGATACTGTACCCCCCCACCCAAAAAAAAATTGTACCTTGCTTCACTTGAGGGACTTCGTAAATTCAGTTTGCCCATTATGAAATGTAAGTCAATCAGCTGCAAGAAGTTGTGTCCTACGTGACAGCCAGGAACCGGATTACTTGCTAATTAAATTATTCTGCGCAGAAAAAAAAAACCTCTGAATGCAGGTAAGCTGCAAGATCTTGATGCCTAGAGTTGACCGTTCTGCCTCAAATACGAAATGTGATTAAAACGGAAGCCGTAGGCGGAGAACTGATAGCATCGGGGACGAACATGGAGCATGAAGAGAGGAGTAATAAAAACCAAGTCGAAAGAAAAAGCATCCGACTTTCTCATTAGATCATGGAGGGCAGCCGTTTTATTGCTGGTTCTGTTCTGGTTACCCTTTCTCTTAATGAGTAACGAGGCTGGCTTGCAGTTTGAGGATGCCCACCCGTGGAGATGAACGAATTAAATGTGTTGGTAAGGGTTAATGAATGCGATGATTTTGCAAATTTATTCGCTTGACTGATGAAGTCGGTCAAAGGTTCGCCTCCCCGAGCCGAATTTCTGGTCGATGCGAAGTACGAGCTGTACCGTCGGTACGTCCGCATTAATCATTCGTTTCGGCGGGAATTTTCACTTTCCTTCAAAGGATGACTGATGACTGCTAATGGGGAGATGGCTGCTTCGCCCAAATATGCAAACAAAACGGATGACGAAGTTATTTTTCATCCGAGTCGGCATACAAAACAGATGACAAAGTTACGAGCCTAATGGCTTCTTGAGCAAATTCGTAATTATTGAAGCATTACATTCATTTTTTTAGTGCATTCGCCCGACTTCGGCAAAGGTCATAGAAACACGACAAATCTTTCAGTCTGGCCCATTTCGCCGCTTCAGAGCAGACAAGGCCCCAGTTCACACAGACTAAAGGCTAGACGCACCCTGGAAAGCAGCCTCGAAGAGGGCTTTCGTGTCCCCGAAGCTAGAAGCCGGGAGGAGGAGAAGCAAGGCGAGGCAAGTCTTCGTGGCTGCAGCTGCCATTTCCGTCGATAGGATCCCTTCGTCGAGCCACTTCGGTCTAACCCATCACTCAGCTTTTCCCGAAATCCCACATGAGACCCACCGGGCGAGATCTCCCTGCAGTCCACGACGAGCAAACCGCGTAAAGCGCCAGAAAAAAACCCAGGGAAACACGGACCCCAAAGCAACAACACCGACGCGGCGGGAGAACGATGCGTGACTGGGAGCAAAGCGAGGGACGACACAGGATTGCCCACTCCCGCGCAGGGTTGTCCACTCCCGCGCAGGGTTGCCAGATGCCAGCCATGCGCCCTGTCCGGCTGCTCAGCGTCCGTCAACCCGAGCGGGACGGAATCGACCCCTGACAATCCAATACTGAACTTAAAAGGATTCATCCCCGGTCGATTTTAACCCTTCGAGTTTTTACCTTCACCTTGATTTTAGTCTGGGCTCATATTCATCATGCCAGTCCCTGATATAGTTATTTATTTATTTGTGGTTCCGACTCCATTCGCGTTGGTGCATCACAAAATTGGTGCAATCCAATGTGTCGAGTATTTGAAGGAATTCAAGCTTATGATTGGAAGGGAAAATTTAAATTTGAATTCCGAACGAACAAGTCCAAGAGAGAAACGTGGCTTTACAGGGTCAATTTACAACTTAATTTCGTACTTGAGCATAGCCCATTAATTTAGGGACATTCAGAAGACACGACCCATGGTCTTAACATTACACCGTGTCAAAGGTGGTAATAATTGAAGGCGAAATCATTGAGATTTCGCAATGTGCAATGAGATTTCGGGGGTGCAGAGGAGGAACGGCTTCATAAATAACATTTTAAGGTCTGTTGTCTTGGGGTGTGATACACCATGATTCATGTAATAAAATTACCCCACGTGATATAAACGTTCTGATTCTTCGCAACGTGGAATATACTAAGTCGATAACAATATCCGTTCTCATTGTCTATAGCGATGGAAGACCTTGGCACAAAAGCCGGAGAGATCAAAGGTGTTCGAATGACATCACTCTTGGATGGCACCGCTTGCCTGTTGGTCTGGTTGGAAACCATAAGAATATTTAAACCTATCCTGGAGCATGCATTATTCATTGCGTGTTTTTGTGCACGTGTAGATAACCTCGAATGCCCACTTCTACACGGGAAATGTCATGGAGTTTTGCATGTCGTTGTCTCCTCATTTGGGTTCTGTTTCACGTTCTACCATCACACGATGGAACCGGGAGATCCTGAGCCAAAGTCGTTCTCATATCTCACCTGGGCCTATCAGTGCCGCATTCCATCACGTTCTTGTTCACACTAGGCAATAAATAAATCCCCCTGGCCAAAGCAATCATTTTGCCCCTTTGATAGCATTGAAAGGCTCCGCAGCGGTTCATTGAACACCCAAATCCTCGATAACTTCTTCCATGAAAGGATGGAAAAAGAAGCCAAATATTCGTATTTTTTATTTCCTTATTTAGTCTTTCAACATTCACAGATCGGGCAGAATTTCATATTCCAAGAAAAAAAACAGCCCAATGGAGGCAGAGCAATCCCTAATGCTCTTCACACCCACAATGCATCAACTCAAATAAACTCTTGAAGGGAGGAACTGGTCATACAAAAAAGGGGTAGGTCAATACATGCTCATTGACAGGTTTCAAATGGATGAAAGAAATAGATGATTCATCAGCTTTGTGCTGAACTCTTCATAAATAAACTCCAACAGCCACAAATCTGGCCAGGTTTGAAAAAGAAAAAAAAAAGAACGAAAAATGAACAAGATTTCATTTCACTGGAGGTTGTGCACTCTTGAGACGGCCCACCCCTCGCAATGAGAATGTGTTCTCCTGAGCATTGTTTGTTTTTCCCCCCTTGTTTTTTTTTTAGAAGAGTAGCGTACCCATTCCACCCATTTCGGACTGCTCCTTCACAAAGATCTCGAAGTATTGATAGATGATTGTGACAGCAAGGAGGATACCCGTCCCAGATCCGATCGCACCCAGGAAGTCTGCAAGCACCGACAGGGCTCCGATGCACAGGCCTCCAAATGCAGCTGCTGTTGGGATGTATCGGTTCAGCTCGTGGATCATGGACTTCTCACGGTGGCCACGCATCACCATCTGTTGTTCCTTCAACTGCTTTGCAACCTACAAGGTTTGGAGATGGTCAACACACATTTGCTCCCAGAAAAGGATGGATTCATGCATTTAGTTGTTGCTAATTATATTACTGGATCCTTGATAAATTGGAAAAGTTGGGCACAACCAAGAAAAAGAATCTCATTTACTTCCACTTCAATTTTGAACACAAAGCCAATGCTAGGGAGTTAATTCTTTACCTCTTTCAATGCTGTGTGAGTCAACTCAATGGTGGGAAGTCATAGCACAACTGACATGTGTACTTGATCTCAAATTTTGAGTTTCCATATACCTCACCTCCCTCCAATCACAGAACAGTGCTGACAAGAGTTACCCTTCTGCAACTGCCAAAGATCCACCATCCAATAGTGACATGTCAGCAGTTGCAGGTGTTGTTCCAGGTACTATATTGCTGAAGGTCACTAGTCACACATGCATGAAAACAAGTTGGACTGGACAGAAACAGGTAACCATTTTGCAGATAATAGCTTTTCAGCCATGGTACATGTACCTTGAAACTTTTGGTGCATGCAGTCAACTCAAGGGCACATGATCTGTTCAGAGTTGCTTTCGAGCATTGGAACAAGTAACTATTACAGCAGAGTACTTCCTTGAGCATTAAACCAAAAAAGGCATATTTATGTTTTGCCTTAAAAATTCATGCACGATAGGATTAATGACATAAGCAATGCTTCTGAGATGGTTGTTCCATTGGGCTTGATGATCTCATGAGTGATGAGATCATTGATAACAATGGAGTAGAACTGTTCTTGCAGAAATGTATGTCATGATGGCATTATGTGGAACACCATCACAATCTATGCACTGCATGTCTTAAAGGGAGGGGGGGAGCTGTTTTTTGAGAATAAGGATTTTGCTTGCACAATTCATCATGCTACATTCCATGACTCCCTCCAAATTTTAACAACTTCAGGTCTATACCCATCATATGATGTCCTACTGCCATAGCACATTCAAATTTTCAGGCTTGAAAGTGTTAATACAATCTTAAAGATATCAGGAGATAGTAGTGGATACTAATTTTCAAATTAGTGTGAAGTTTACACTCAGTAGATGAAAAGAAGGTCGAAGATAGTTAAAGAAGAAGAATCAACTCACAAGAATAGTTGAAGATTACATTGATGGAAGGTGCAGTAAAAAAGAGGCTGACAAGAGTTATCTTCAGAAATACTTGCAATCAAGAGACACAGTTTATAAATCAACATTTAAATGTAATATACAGATTAATGAAGTGTCCAGTCAATAAGAAACTCTGAAGGGGATTCAGGCAATACAAAGTAAGGAAAACCAATCCCAAGTAGGTGAGAATTCCCAATGTAAGATAACTTGCCTTGAATCAAACATGCAATGAAAAGCAGGGATTTCATAAGGCACAGGGACCATAGAAAGAGATAAATCTTGATATTCATTGAAGAGTAGAAAACCTAAGTGGCTACAGCAGTCAGCAAGTAGCATATGACTCACATCCTTAGCAGAGGAACCGGAGACCTCAATCCATGTCTTGGAGAAAAAGGCACAGGAACCCAACATGAAAAAGATGTAGAGCATGGCATGGACAGGGTCTTCAACAATGTGTTGTAATGTCTCAGGAGGAGAAAGGTAATAACAAAGGCCTCCTATCGGGTATGCTCTTGCAGGTCCCCCGCCCCCCACATCTGCCCATGTCCCTAGCATGTTCACAAAGAAGTTGCCAGAGAACTTCACAGCCAGCATCTGAAAAGCAAAAATATAAACATTTTATCACATGTATCTTTGCAGCTAATAAGGTTTCAGTAGACGTTGACTCCAAAGCACTTGCCTGAGAGATGACGTACAAATTGGATACAAGAGCGGACTGAAGGATGATTGGAATGTTAGAAGTGTAAAAGAGCTTGATGGGGTAGCTTGAGTATTGACCACGGTAACGAGCAGACTTGATGGGTAGATCCACACGGAATCCCTACAACAAATAAATAACATCCACTGTCAAAGAACATGGGGAGTGCAAATGCAACCTGTTAAAGAGTAATGCATAAAGATTTTCTTCTATTAATCCATTAAAAATTTCACTTCCATGAGAACAATGACAAGCCACAAACAGAAAAATGAAAAGCAAAATGACAGTCAAGTCCAACAAGAGATTACTAATCCCCCCAAAAAATTTTGTTGCATTAAACTTTTGATGTAACATACAAATAGCAGGAACCACCTTCAATGAAGAAAATCAACAATAACTTAATACTGCACCAAGATAGTGAAGGATTAATTTACATCTAACCTGGAAGTAGATGACAATGGCAAACACCAAGATGGTTGCAAGTAGATTGGTGAGGTTGGGCAGATTCTGTCGGTAGAAGGCTTCTCTAAGTGCTCGCACTTTGTCTTGCCTCGTAGCCAGGAGATGGAACAGGGCAATGATGGCACCCTCAAATTCTGTTCCCCTTCCTAATGGACAATGTTAGTGGGTGACCTACAATATGATGTAAGTACAGATATGATTGCATATCTTTCCTTCACTAACCAGTATTCACAGTTGCAGGGCTAAATGCTTTCCAAACGATGGTCTCGCAGATGTTGGTGGCAATGAAGAGGGAAATACCAGATCCCAAACCATATCCCTTTTGCAGGAGTTCATCAAGAAGCAGGACAATGAGGCCAGCAACAAATAGCTGAATGATGATCAACAAGCATACTCCAGCCCCAATCTCAGCAGGATCACCATACATTCCCGTCATAACGTATACAATGGCTTGACCAACAGTGATCACCATGCCAAAAACTGGAGGGGAGAGATGTACTTAACGAATTGCCAAAATTTACCAAAAGAATTAAGATGTCATGAGATGCCATACGTTTCTGTGCTCCATTGAAGAGTGCCCTATCCTTTGGAGTATCACCAACTTCTATTATTTTTGCACCAGCCAAGAGTTGCATGATAAGGCCCGAGGTCACAATTGGTGAGATTCCGAGTTCCATCAATGTCCCTCGATTGGAGGCAAGGATCACTCGGATCCAGTAGAAAGGGTCGGCAGAATCTGAGCTCATAATCCCAAAGAGTGGGATCTATATTGAAAAAGAAGTACCAGTTCCAGTATTTAGAAAGAGGATATAGAAATGACTCCTCTGGTATCAGATGCATCCTTTCACTACTAATGCTTTAAGGACTAGGGCTTACCTGGCAACAGACAAGGAAAATGAAGAGGGTGATTGCAGTCCATAGAACCTTCTCTCGGAACTGGATCTGGAGGAATCGAAGTTTTGCATAAATTCAAAGCAGAAAAGGCCTAGCTCTAGGCCTGGGTTCAATTTGCTTTCTGTTGTTAGAGGCTAAAACAAAGGGTCAAGGGTTCTCACAAGTCCCACTTAATTAAGTTGATCCGACTTCCCATTTTCAAAACAACCTGTTCCTGTGTCCCCTGATAACTAGGCAGATCTAGCACCAGTTCTTATTCATATTTCAACAGTAATAAATACAATTGTCCATGCAACAATTACATTTTGTTTTAGGAGGAAAGGGAAATATTTATAGAGCATCCCACTTTTGAGACACAAATCTAATCACCTTACACTCAAAAGCAACAATCCTAGAATTTCCCACTTCTGAACTCCTTGGTAAGGACAAGATAATTTCCATAGCTAAACGAAAAAATGGAACCATGAATTTTCTTATGGCAGCAAATGAGAAAAAAAACACGATTTTTCCCATGCTAGTTACAATATGCCAGAGTTGCTCTTTCTGGAGCCAGATGTTCCTGGCTATTTAGGAAAGCAAGAAAGCATTTAGTGATACTATTTTGGCCCACTCTAGGTGAGGCTCAAGGGATATTCAGAGTTGCAAGCCTAGCCTCAAATACGGGGGTTACTAACCTTCCGTTCTGGTTTGGCGATTTCGGGAAGAATGCCACAAAAGGGCTTGATGACTTCTAGGAACTTGACTGGAAAGGAAAAAAAAACCGAGGTTAGTTAACTCATGCCTAGACTAGGTCTGGGTTTAAACCAAGCCTAAAGTTATGTACACCCACTCTGAGGCCTAACAGACCTTAGGCCAAACCGAACGATATCATCCGTTCTATCAGTTCTAAACGAACAAAAAGCAGAAGTGAACTTACTTCCCATGATGCCAGACTGATGAGGGTCAGAAATTCATGTGATTCTGAAGGAGTCGGTTGAAAATGCGGAGGAAACGAGGACCCGTTTGACACGGCAACTGACCAAGGCCGATCCCGTTAGCGAAAGGAAGGTGATGTCGGCATCCACATCCACGCTGCTAGGTTCGTGACGTCACCGGAGGCGTGGGGCCACGTTGGTCTCTCTTTCCCGTTCCTCGGGCCAGATGGCAGGACTTCGCTGACGTTTGTTGAACTCCTCCCTTGATCCGAGTAGTGATTCAATCCATAACTTCAGACCATCCCTTGAGTAAATTAATGAATCTTTTCTTACTTGATGTCTCCGTTAAAATATTTACTTGTCTTTTTTCTTCTAAACTTTTAGTAGAGAATGCACATTAGTGAGGAAAGAGTTTTGCCCGACAAGCAGCACTGCGCGAAAAAAAATGTCGTCGGCCGAAGACCGACACCGCGTGATACACACGCAAGAGACTGTCACTCGCTGATCTTCTGACCTGAACGTCAGGAGTCTCAGGATTCGCCTAAGGTTTAGGCTAAGGATTGCGTGAAGCCTTTATCTAAAGTTACTGAAATAAACTTACTGTAAAGTTATTACAATAAACTTATAATTTTTTTGCAGGTGCGCATATTAAAGTTTACCGAGCGCTATCTCGTATTGGTTTGAATTGCATTCGGGAGATGTTCCGTCCTCTTCATCGTCCACCACCACCGAAGCCTGGTGTTAGGGGCTTTCTCTTCTCTCTTTACCAAGATCCCTGGAGGTGGTGAGTTTCATGATGTGCTTTGTCAAGCAGTTATTTGCTCTTTGTACTGTGACGACAGGAATGAATAGGCTATTCCTATTGAATGTCATCGGATTTCACGCGTGACAGATTCTGTATGTGTGCTTTTGTAGCTCCTCTTAAATCATAGGCCCAGGATATTTCCCCACAATGCTGTCCCCTAGAACAGCCAGGCCTTACAAGTTATCAATCTGGAATCTATCCCACTGAAACAATGGAGTTTGGTGGTATTGGGTTGCACTTGGTCAAAACCTACATTTACTAAGTGAGCTAGACGCTGCAATATATTCTCCCTTCAGCTAAAAAGAAAGTTGGGCAAAACACCTTTCTAACACCAAAGATGTATCATCCTTATTGGAGTCTTTGCCTCCAACTTCATTAACTTGCAATAATTACCTAATAAGTTATAATAATTGATTCTTTTAAATGGCAATAATCACTATTAATAAATACCTAAACAATTTGGCAACCCAGGTGGAATGCAATATCAGCATATGGATTTTCCCTTGCATTCATTGGAAGTCATTTCCCTATCTCTCTGTTTTTCATAATGACCTGATGACAATGTAAGGGAGTCTGTATGTAGCTGACAATTTAAAGTGAAATCTACTAACTGCAATGCTAGGGGCAAAATGGCAGGCTGATTCCTGACTTCACAGTGATGTCAATGGACAAAAGTTGGCAAGTGAACTTTCCCCAAAGTTGAGAAGGTATGGACCCCTTAGATTTGAAAATTTTGTTTTGGTTCATCTCCATGTAATCATGTCCTCTTGTTAATTATATCAGAGCTATGTCCTTCATGGAAGAATGAGGAACAGCCTCTACATTTTGGGAATGAGGATACAAGCATGACTTTTCAGTCATGAATTTCACACTACGGTTTCATCTATCTTTTAAGTCAAATTAGATTAGACAGGGCACTGTACAACAGCTATTTTATATGGATGATGATGGCTTAGTCCAGTTGAGGAAGGACTTCTAGTCTCTCTCCCATAACCCTATTGGACAGTGAACATGAGGTCTTCTGAATGTAATACCTGAGTAATTATTGCATTTGTGTACTTGCTTACATTTTGAAAAAACTTTAAGTGCATCAAGTTACACTTCATAATAAGTAACTCATTGTAACTGGTTATATTTCTAGTGCAACTATATGTCATTTAAAAAAGTAAGCTTTTCTGAGAATCCTCCTTAACTCTGTAAGAGCTTGCTTTGCAAAGGATGGGCCTCATTTATGGATTTCCTTTATCAAAACAAAGCAAGATTCAGTGTGACATCTGGATTCTAACACATGTTTTGTTTTATGGATAAAATAACATTCTGTCATGCTAACTGCCATGAGAGAGCAAAGTATGGAATGGAATGACTGCTATCCAACTAAGCCTTATTTGGACTACCCTAAGTTTTAGGTCTCCTTTCCATGTATCTGTCTGCAGGTCCCTGGTGAAGAGCACTTTGATGTTTGCTGCTGGGGTTGGCATTGCAAGAGAATTTGTTGGAGTTGAACTCATGCCAGCAATTTCTGCTTGAACATCATCTTTGTGATCGTAGTTTTTTATGTTCCTGTGAGAACACAAAAGAACAATTTTGTATATGCTGTCATGGTGAATGTGGTTCAACAGAGAAATAGGATGGCAATAAAGTGTCCAGGTGTTCGAGTACTAGCATGTCTACTTATCGTTTCCTCTGTTGTGCTCTCACTTGGAGTGTATAATGGAGTATTGTATCCATCTGAGAAGATTGCCCAGGAGAAGAAGCCAAATTTCATTATCTTCTTGACAGATGATCAGGATCTGGTACTGAACAGCATGGTGAGTAATGCCATGGGCCTGCAGAAAACAATAGTCTCTAGTTATACTGAATCTTTTTCCTACATGTGTCATTGAATAGTTTTGTTAATTTAGTGCTACAATATGATTCACTGCAATTTTTTTTATTGCTTTGTTGTCAAATTGTGACACTTCAATGGTTTTTGCTGATGTTTTCAGAATGCAATGCCAAAACTGAAAAATCTCATTGGAGACTATGGCATTACAGCTAAAAACATGGTAACCATATTCCCTTTTTTCCTTCTTTGCACATCAGGGCATTTTTCTAATCAATACAATTGCTCTGGGTCTTATTTTAGTTTGCCACAACACCCATCTGTTGCCCCAGCCGAGCCAGCATTTTTACTGGTCTTTACATGCACAATCACCATACATACAATAACACCATGGAGGGTGGCTGTAACAGTGTGGAATGGAGGAGGAAGAAAGAGCCTCGAGGTTTCCCTGCAATTTTCAAGGAGCATGGTTATAACACATTTTATGCTGGGAAGTACCTCAACATGGTATGTCTACTAATCAAGTCACATGGTACCAGCCTAGATGAACTCAAGGGGAGAGGTGTTCATTGATATGGCACAATGAGGAAACTGGCACTGGAAACAATTCATAAATCATAATCCATAATTCCTGAATTATTGATTGTATGCATAAATTATGATTGCAGTTCTGTTGTGGGCTGAGCCACAATCAGATGTATGAATGATCTATGAACACATGTTTCATTGCCATATGATGACGTATATGTGATCCTATATATACTGTATAAGCCAAATATTTTTTAAATCCTTAATTGTGAAGTTGTGCCCTTCGATAAACTCCCCCCCCTCCCCATGAGTTTAATGCTAGAATTATGCTGGAATTTTAAACTCTTATCTGTTAAGGGGGTAATGATTTTTTGCATAAACTCTGTGAGGTGTGGGCATTCTACTTAAATGGTGAATATACATGCATTTTACAGTATGGGAAGAAGAAGGGGGGTGGAGTGAAGCATATCCCTTTTGGGTGGGACTGGTGGATTGGTTTGGTGGGTAACTCTGCTTACTACAACTACTTCTTGTCTGTGAATGGGACCAAGATTCCTCATGGTCAAAACCCCAGTATTGATTATCTCCCTCATGTGCTGGTAGGTATGATTTTGATTTTATTGCATAGTTATTAAGCATGTTTAGTTGCCATTTAATGATGAGCATTTTCATAGTCTTGCTGCTCATTTGGTTGACTGCAAAATGTATCAATAAATTTGTGACACCTTGAAAACTTTTTCTTGCTAGCACCGATATGCCAGGTCTTTCCTGAAGAGCTATTCATCAGCAGATCCCTTCATGATGGTCCTTGCTTTTCCATCTTGTCATGCACCTTTTACTCCAGAACCAATGTACAATGCAACTTTCCCCAATGAAAAAACTCCTCGGAGTCCAGCGTTCAACAGACCTGTAGGGAAAGTGAGTGAATGCTCCCTTGTCATTTGGTGGCTCTTCTAAAGTCAAACATATTTTTAAAGAACATAGTATTGGTTTTGTGAGAAAATGGTATTTTATTCTTTTTTCCTCCCTACATCCTCAGGAGAAGCATTGGCTTCTTCGCCAAGAGCCAAACCCACTTCCAATGGATGCGATTGCTGGAGTTGATGAAGTCTTTCGAAATCGCTTGAGGACACTTCAAACTGTAGATGACATTGTAGCCAATCTCCATGGACTTCTGAAAGACAAGAACCTCCTCGATGAGACATATCTTATCTTCACATCTGACCATGGATATCATACAGGTTCCAAAAATGTTCCTTGTGGTTTTCTTTCATAATTGGAAGTAATGTTGTTGTAAGTTCTCTTTCTCGCAGGGATGTTCTCTCAGCCAATAGACAAGCGGCAACCATATGAGTTTGACATCAGGGTGCCCCTGCTTGTATCAGGACCCATGATACCCAAGCAGAAGGTGCTTGATGATGTGGTACTGAACATTGACTTAGCCCCCACCCTTTTGGAGATGGCCAAGATTCCAAAGCCAGATGATCTTATAATGGATGGACAGTCATTTGCTCATTTATTATTTCAGAAAACTTCTGGTGGGCATAGCTGTTTTTGAGATTTCCCTATTCAATGTTTCTCATTTCAAACTACTAATCATTCCTGAATGCTGACAGATGAACAAATTCCTCATGACTTCCGAGATGACTTCCTCATAGAATACTCTGGACAAGGAGGAGAGGTGGGCTCAAAAACTTGCCCCATTTCCCAAGATCCCAACGTTTCAGTAAGGAAAACCTATCATGTGCATCATTTATTGTAGGCCTATTGAAAACCTTAGAATGTTTACTTTTTTTTTCTTGTCAGCAATGTCTTGAAAAATTCTACTGCAAGTGCCAGGATGCAAGGAACAACACATATATGTGCTTGAGGCAGTTAAACTCGAAGCTCAATACAAAGTTCTGCATCTTCCTTGATGATGAGGTGAACCTGGTTTCTAGACCTCATTTTCTTGTCATTTCCCATTGTTGTATTCCCAGTGACTATATTCCCTATATATCCTTTCATTCCAGAACTTTATTGAGCATTATGACCTGAGCAAAGATCCATATGAGCTTCACAACTTGAACGAGGTTCTTGCTGAATCAGAACGGACAGAGTTGAGAAGTCGTGTGCTCGAACTCTCACGTTGCAGTGGTCTTTCATGTGTCTAATCCTTATCTGGCAGTTATGTGTCTGTGTTCAAACCAGTTATAAAAGAGACTTGGGTGCTAGTGGCTTCTCTTGGCCCATGTAGTTGAGTTCAATATGACCTGCAGTTTATTCAAACTTTTGAATTTCAAGCACCTATTTAAGTTGCCTTTGAACAGAATTGATATGCTAGAATAATTTTGGTCGTACCTGGTGAGAGTGGTATTGATCCTGACTGCCAAAACTGTATGAAAGCAGTATGATGAAGGGGCTGGTATCACTATTCCATGCCTGGCATAGTATGATGCATCCATCAACTTCTAAGCAGCAAAATTGTCATGAAATCAAAGTATACAAACATTATGCCATTCTGCTGAAGAGAAGAGTAAGTCAAAAGACCATGACGAAGAGAATTTTCCTTCTGAGTGATATGCATTTCATCAAGTCATTCTCTGGTATTCTATTTTTTCTTTTATACAAAGCCAAAAATGTCTCATTTTAAAGTTTTTCAAATTGAAGGGAAGTTATTCCTGATTCTGATTCTCATTCATCCATTTCCAGTTTAATTCCTATATTTGTGTGCTTTCTTTTCAGGGTGATTTCTATTATGCTTAAAAAATAGAAACAATGATCATCATTCAAAAAGTGCTCCAAGTAGGACTAATATAGTATTTAGTGTGAGTGGCATCAGATTAGAAAATACCAAAATGAGGTTGCTGGTGGGGCGGGAACCTGTAAGACGCACACAGAAATACCTAGAAGCTGGGAAGCTGGTCCTTAAGGATCGTGTCAGGGTTGTCTCCATCAACTACAATGGTACTGGAGAGAATCATCAGGGTGCAAGGTTTGTGCTCCTCTCAGTCTATTTGCATTTTGTTCATTTCAAGGTTGAAAATGAGATATTTCTGTCTTGAACACAGGGACTTCATTTTCTGGCACTTACCACAGTTGCAGTTCAAAAACCCCAATGTCCAGATGGTGACCTTTAAGGATCTGACTCCCACTCCTTTCATCAAACTTTATCTTGGTATGATTAAAATACACATAAGCATATAATTCCCAGTCGATTTAAAAAAAATTTTTTTGCACACATTATTATTTTTATTCTTAGAGGGAAATGAACAGGTTTTGATGGATGTGGATGGATACACAAAGGAGCAGATCCACGAACGTTTTAAGCGGATCATCTGCAAATCTGAGTTGGTCCACATGCATTCTTTGATGGTGGTGTCATTTATTTTGGTATGTGAAATTTTTACTTATTTTTGTCCAGTGATTTACTGCAGAGAGAGGCTTCATCACTGCAGAGGCAAGACAATCCTGCCAACTTCGGTAGCAATTGCCCCAGACATTGCATCTGTGAGATTCCTGGACAGGTCCCCTGCCCAGGGTTGATACCTCTGCCCAAGCACATGCGCGGCAAGTATAAGTACCAGGGCTATGAAGATTGATCTCCCTTTGTGAGTTATGCAATGCTCAAAGGCTTTGTGTCTCTAGGAATTGTCATGGCCTGTTTATGTTTTAATAAAGGACTTGGAAATGACTAGTTTATGTTAAGACCAATGCCAGTTTTGTATTGTCATCTTTGGTATGATTGTCTTTGTGCTATGAAAGAAAGAAAAGCTTATTTTCCATTTTCGTTGGAATGGGTAGGTATTGAAAAATTCCCCACACCTTAGCAGACAATTCCCCCCCCCCCCCTTCGAATGTTATTGGCTTTATCTGGTAAATACAGCACCATAGCACTCTTTTTCTGCATGCAAAAGTACTACTATTTACAGGCGTCGATCCGAAAGCGTTTCTACCTCAACGCGTTGGTTTTATCAGTTTTTCGCACTTCAGGCGCATATATCTGGATCTTATCGTGATGTCGATTTCTTAGCAGCAAAGCCGAACCGGAATCCTCGACTGTGGAAATCTCATTTCCGGCGGTGGCATCTCACGTGACTTAAACGCCATGAGTTCTACTTGCCTGCTTCAGGTATAAATCATTGCATCTTAACACCTTAAGGCGATTAATTCTTAGTCTTTAATCTTCCCTTTCTCGACAGTGGGAAAGGAACGGGCATGCCAAGATAATTTGGGGTCTGAAGTTTTTTTTTTAATACCATGTATTTGAAGGTGTTTCAGTTGGTAGAAAGCCAAATACCGAAGGATGGGCCATATCATTCTGAGAGATCGAAATGACGTGGCCCCCGGTTCCTGCCAAAGTCCATATAATCAAGTTTTGAATGATGGCTCGCGAGGACGCGATTGAAATCGCGGAATCGAGAAATCTTTTTGCGTTCTTCGATCTCCACATGAGAATAATCTGTGAATGCCGATATATGATTTGGCAGTGATGGCGGGTTTGGACCGGAGTCAAACCGGATCTCTTTCGTTTACACACCTGCTTAAAAAAAAAAGTCTATAAATCTGCCAACGAGGCAAAAATTGCTCCGCCGGGCGAATCGAGTCTAACGAGAGCAATTTCGAATTTCGTCGCGTCGGTCATGATAAAAACGCGTTGCCCTTGGCTCAATGAAGCTTGCTCATCATTTGCTTCATCTCTTCTGAATCTACTGGAATCCGAGGGTGAGCCGGTTCGAGTTCCAGAATGACTTCAATTATCGAGTGGCAGTTACAATAATTGGCATGCATAAATTCGAAATGACCCCCTTTTACGCTAAGTATTTTGTTTGAAAAGTCAACATTTTAAATCAGTGGCATAGGCAGGAAATTGGGAAGGAGGGGGGAGTTGAAACCACGTTGCCCCCCCCCCCCAAACGCTTAGCTTCACTACCCGGAATTTACCTTTTCTGAGGAAATCGTGATTTGGCATCTTGCGCCTGTGGATGGACATCGGACTTTCCTGGAAGGGGGATAGCTAAAAATGGAATTCCCAAGGAAGGCTGAAATGCTTGTCAGTGTCACTGACAAAGAAGCTAAAGAGAGGGGGGGGGGGGGGGGAATCCTAACCCCTTAAACCCCCCCCCTCTTCGCTATGCCACTGTTTTAGATGTATTTCGAGCAAAGTAAATGTAAAAAAAAGCAGTGAAGTTCATATAAAATCGCGATATATTTTAATTTTCCAGTTTACTATTATTTCAATGTAAGGTCAGTTGGTTTTATGACTTCAGTCCCAGCTTATTCGAAATTCCAGGGAAATCAAACTAGGACCGAACCCTCTAGAAAACGAAATTTTAATCCTGCTCATTATAAAAGAAAAAATTGAGTCTTCACAGTCGCAAATGAAAAAATTTGCGACTGCGAGCAGCAACATCTCGCAAGACCCTCGGCGATTCATACCGTTCCCTTTGCGCAACGTCGAGATCGTCCCAGATTCATGGATTTTTTTTTCTGGCCGCATCACGTGGGAATCCCCTCGGTTATGCATGCTCGTCCTCGAGGCCAGATGGAGCCGATAAGCCATCGGTCGGGTGAACCGAGATCCTCCCGTCTCTTCTGAGAAGTTCTCGTCCTAGCAAGTGAAAGGATGAAATCATTTTCTCTGTGACATCCGACATGATAGTCTTCGGAATTTCTTTTTTAAAGCAAGCAAGTCGTGTGGATGTTCGCTCATCCAAATACCCCTTTCGGGTGTTCGCGCGTCCCACATTTTCTCTAAGGGAAAAAAATTATCGGATAAAATTGACTGAACTGAAAACACCCAGGCTGATGGCGCTGATCGTCCAGATCGCACCTGAATCCAGATTAAAGCGGAAAACGTAATAAATAAGGAAAACAAGGACTATCTCACTACTCGACTTCTCCTCGCTTTTCTGCCCCGCCTTATCTCGAGTGCAGGCGATGTCCTTGGAGACTAAAGAGAATGAGACCGCGAAGCTTTCGAGTTTTACGGATTGTGCCTCGAGCAGTGATGCACCGCTTTTATCCTAAAAAGGACAAAATTTCAATTTCTTCTCGCGTTCGATGGTCGCAAATACGACCGAAAGTCCAATCCACCAAAGAGCTCATGCATCGAAAGTCGTATCTCCCTGGTTAATGAGACCTTTTCGCTCTGCTTTTCGGAGACAATCTTCGTTTACGGTCGGAATTGGGCCGCGGATCGCGCATCACTGCCGTTGGGACGGCGGGGCACGTGGCGTCTGCTCCCGCCTGATGCGTTCGTCTGATCGATGTGAAATAGCGTCGCGGAATCGATAAAACTCGGTCGTGAACTTTCTGATCCCGTGATAATCGCGATAATTAGCAGTAATCGGCGATCTATCACGATTTTGAGAGGACGCCCAGTGCATCTGCACAGCGCTTAACGAGGGTGTGGCAATCGTCCCAGGGAAAACTGGATTTTTCGTTGCACAACTGAATTGCGAACAATTCCCCGTGGGAATTTTTGATGCGATCGCGACGAGGACTTTGGATAATTGCGTTTTCATTTTCGGCCCGGAATAGTTTCGGCGGGTTGCCAAAGGATGGTGGGGGAAGGGCTTGGCATGCAAATCACGATGGGACCCCGAGGACATGGAATAATTAAATTGCGCTTTCGCGAATCCCAGACGCTCGTATACTTTCTCCCATCTCGTAAATTCTCCCAGGGGGGCAAAGAAATGGAGGTGGGCACATCGGGGGACAAAATACGATGGAATGAACACTGACTTTGCCCTGAGAAGCCGACTTTGCCCTCGGAAGTTGGCTTTGCCCTGGGACGGAAACTCCGCCGCTGCGTCTTCGATGGGAATAGCTTTCCAAGGACGGACTCTCGAGTGCATCATTAATTTCGGTGGGAAAGCGGGGGAGGGGGGACCGAGAGGGATGCACGTCTCGTGCAGTCGCTTCGTACAACAATGCATGATGATGTATGGGGATCATGACATTACAGAAACCGAGGGGGAAGAAGACTCATGCCCTCGGACTCCGGGTCGCGTCTCCGTCCCGTTTCCTGCCGTCTTTCGGGGCTGGGTGATTTCATCACGCCTTCGTCTTTGTTGATGTCGGTCGCTCTTTCTTTCTCGGTTGTGCAACGGAGGCGGATTAGCTCCACTTTTTTGCGGTGCTGGTTGGCGTTTCTGTCGTGCGGGGAGAAAGGCGTGCGGTCGCTCTTGCAGGTCAGTATCGCATAGCGTTCCTTCGGATGCTCCGAGGCTTACGTCATCTTCGCCTCGAGGCGCGGAAGATGAGAAAAAAAAGTGTGCACGATGAGGCGAGGAGAGTCCTCAATTATCCTCGCGGTCATGGTCAGTCTGGCCGGAGAGCCCCATCCTTCTTCCGTCTTCCATATGACTCCGGACCCTCTTCTGTTCCACTTCGGGGGTCTCGTCTCATCCACGGAGGAGAGGGCTGCTCTATGGTGTGACGATTCTAATTGGTGGCACGCCTTATCTGTGAATCGGGGAGTGCCACTGTTGCGGGGAGCTGCAAATCCTTTCCTAGAAAGTCCAGAGGAAATGAATACATTCAAGCAGACGATACGCGAGGATGACGTCATCGTCCGAGTGACGACACGAATGATGGTGTGCCCGTTGTGGAGGACCATGGACAGTAGTGTACATCGAGTTAATGGGTAAGGGGATCTATGGCCGTAGAACGTAGGCGTTACTTGAGGTACTGTGTAAGCCAACTTTGCCAGTGAAAATCCCAGGGCTATTATGTAAAGTAGGCCTAGGCAAATGGAGAATATGAAAATGCGTGAGAGTGTGGTAGACTAGCCTAAGCCAACGGTAGGCCTTGCTCCATGATAACGTTTTAGATAGGCTAAGTCCTTGGCTTTTGTGAGTACATATAATCAATTACGTCACAACCGGAACAACAAAAACTTCGAAGCATTGAGTCATGTAATTTTCTTTCCTCAGATCTGATTCAGTGGATCTCCTCTCTGGAACAATGTAGCATAGACCAGTCTGATACAGTGCCTACTTGCTGTGGTAAAGTGCTTGTGCAAGTAAGTCTTGTGTCAGAAAGTGAGAACTTAAGCACATGTGATAATGGGCAACCAGAATGGAAAATCAAACAACCTGCCCAATGGGGCAACCGACTCCTCATCTCGAACCTTGCAGCATCTTAACGATGTCCGACACATCGTGGATGTCAGTGGTGGAGTGGAAGTGGATAGTGGGCATTTTGATGCCCCCATGCCAAATCCCAGTGAAGTGGAGAGACGCTTTACCAAAGTCCTAGCGTCGATGGACCTTCCACCGGATAAAGTGAAGGTCCTCAAAGGCTATGATGAGAAGAAAAAGTGGCATATGATCTGTGATCAAGAACGAGTTCATGCCAAAGAGTCTCCAGCCTTTTACCTGGAAAAACTTCGAACTTACCTTGACCCCAAGGCATCTCGAAGTGCTCGCAAACGAAGGCTCTTGGGAGATCGCACGTCGACGCAGTTGTTACGGAATTTGGAAACGTCTCTTCGCACCAATCATATTGAATGGGTGCGAGAATTTCTCAACGAAGAGAATCAGGGGTTAGATGTACTCATAGACTATCTGTCGTACCGTCAGGTGATGATACGGTGTGAGGCTCGACGGAATGAAGCAGCCAGTGATCAAGAAAATGAAGGGAGTGATTCAAATTCACCAAGAACAACAACAAGTACCCTTCGCACCAAGAGTGTCTCAAAGCATCAGTCGCGCCTGAACATGGGGCAAGCCCATGACGATATCCATGTGTGTATAAAGTGCTTACGAGCCATCATGAACAATAAGTATGGTTTCAACATGGTGATAGGGCATCACCAGGCCATCAATTGCATCGTCCTCAGTCTCAATCATCATAGTCAGTTGACCAAGGCTTTGGTTCTAGAACTCCTTGCTGCCATTTGCCTGGTGAAAGGTGGTCATGAGATCATCTTGTCTGCGTTTGATAATTTCAAGCAAGTATGCAATGAGACTCACAGGTTTGAGACTCTAATGCATTACTTTAAGAATTATGATGAATTTCACATTGAATTTATGGTGGCATGCATGCAGTTTATTAACATTGTGGTGCACTCTGTGGAAGACATGAACTTTAGAGTTCATCTTCAATTTGAATTTACTCTTCTTGGACTGGATGCGTATCTTGAAAAATTGCGTCTCACTGAAAGTGATGAACTTCAGGTCCAGATAGCAGCCTATCTGGACAATCAATTTGATGTGGGGGCCCTGATGGAGGATAGTATGACTAAAACTGCTGCCTTGGAAAAGGTTTCAGAACTGGAGGAGGAGTTGGCTAGGACCAAGGACCACCTCCAAGAACTCGAGAATGAACACATAGCTAAGATGGTGGAAGTGGAATCTCAATTAGCAGAGGTGACAGCTGATCGTGACAACCTTTTGCAGGTAAAGATGCAAATTTCTGAAGAGATTTCAACTCTGAAAAGGACAGCTACAATGAAGGAAGAAGAGTCTAAACATCGTCAATCTCTGCTTGAAAGTAAGATTGCAGAGTTAGAAAAGATGGCTGGAGGTGGTGGAAAAGCAGTTGGTGGGACAGGCGCAAGTGCTCCTTCAGTGCCTGCACCACCTCCACCTGCAGCACCTGCACCACCACCTCCACCTCCTCCAGTGGCACCTCCCCCTCCTGCACCTGGAATGCCACGAGCACCTGGGATGCCTCCCCCACCACCTGGACTTATGAATGCTCCTCCTGATGCCATGACTATCAAAAGGAAAGTCCAGACCAAGTACAAGCTTCCCACGTTGAATTGGATCGCCATGAAACCAAACCAGGTGAAAGGAACTGTGTTCAATGACCTGGATGATGACAAGCTTTACAGCAAGATTGACTTCCACATGTTTGAAGAGATCTTCAAACTGGGACCTGGTGGAGGGATTCATTCACCAGATGATGATGGATCGCTTCACTACTTCCCCAGCAAACGCTTCAAGAAGCCTGAGCACATATCCTTATTGGAACATAACAGGCTGAGAAATCTTGCTATTTCAAGACACAAACTTGATCTGAGTGTAGAGGATGCATCTAGGATTGTTTCCAGTTTTGACCTGAAGGCTTTGCCATTGGAGAGCTTAGAGATATTGCAACGTATGTTGCCAACAGAAGCAGAAGTGAAGGCATATCGGGAATACGAACGGGATCATCGTCCCGTCAATATGTTGACAGAAGAAGACCGGTACCTCCTGCAGTTGAGCAAGATTGAGAGGCTCGGAGTGAAGCTGAGCATCATGAACTACATGGCAAATTTTGAGGAGACAACCCAGACACTAACTCCTCAGTTCCATGCAGTTATAACCGCATCAAGATCTGTGAAGAATTCCAAGAGATTCCGTGGGATTCTTGAGGTGGTACTTGCCTTTGGGAATTATTTGAATAGTTCCAAGCGTGGCCCTGCTTATGGCTTTCGCTTGCAGAGCCTTGAGGGTCTCATGGACACAAAGTCACCTGATCGAAAGATGTCTCTTCTTCACTACATAGTAGATACTGTGCATGCAAAATTCCCTGACCTGATTGGGTTTGTCTCTGAGTTGAAGTATGTTGAAAAGGCCGCAGGGGTCTTTCTAGAAACCATCCTCACTGACATGAGTGACTGTGAGAAGGGCATGGATATGGTTCGAAAGGAGTTTGAGTTGTGCCGCAAAGATGCCAAGGACGACAGAAATGCTGTCTTGCGGGACTTCATCACGAAGTCTGAGGATCGACTCAGGAAGTTGAAGAATGACTGTCAGATGGCCCAACAACTCTTCTCTGAAATGCTGGAGTATTTTGGAGAGAACATTCGGACGACCAGCACCAATTCCTTCTTCTCAGTCTTAGTTCGGTTCATGAAACTGTGGAAGCAGGCTGAAGAAGAGAATGAACAGCGTCGAAAGAGGGAAGAAGCTGCGCAAGCGCAGAATGGTGTGGAAGAAGGGAATAAAAGCAATCCAAGGTCTCAGCAACAAAGACAGGAAGCTGTGGTCAATGAGCTTAAGTCCCGGAACAATCGACATGTCCAGGAGAAGCAGTTATTGGCTCAGGATCAGGTGAGAGCTAGTTTGAGGTTGGCCAACATCAGTGTTGGAGTATAGGCTGATATTTGCAGGTTTTGTGATAGTGACAAAACATATTGGTCTTCTTTTGATCATCAGTGCCTCATATATGTGGATCCTATTTAAAAAGGGTATTCGAATGCCCTTTTTCTTGCTCTATTGTTGTCATATGAGGTTAATAGATCATTTAGATGCATCCTTACTGCCACAAAAATGCATTTAATAGCTTAGTTGCTTAAAAGTGCTTGAAATGTTTGGAAACCATTGGAAAAGGTATTATGTGGTAGAGAGTTGGAGATTGTCACTTCTTTAAGTGGCTTTTGTTTTCATGATTTTTGCCTGTCTTGATTTATTAGGTATCATAGGCAAAATTATGTTGGGCTTTTTGGTGCATCTCTGCATTTAAAGAATGAATTTTTCCTGTTTCAGGTGTAATGTGAGAATCACAATAGAACTCATTGGTTGAGAAGATTCTATAGATTGAAGGTGTAAAACATGCTCCCTCTTGTACATCCACTATAAACTCCATAAACATTGTGGGGAATAGGAAAATTGCACATTCAGAATTGATGTAGCCAGAGGAGGACTATTAGGGGAGGATTAGGGAGGAGAGGACTGTATCAAGTGAAATGTGAAAGTGGGATCAATTGGGGTTTGATGTTATTGGCATATTCCCACAAAGTCTGCAATCTTGTTTGAGTTTACTTTCTTGTTACAGTCACTTCCTTGCTTCCCCCCCATCATCCCATGTGGCATTGAATATAGGTGGAAAACTTGACAAAAAATCTACTAAATACATTGTAGCAATGTTGTATACCTAAATACTTCATTCTCAGAAAAGCTGGAGATAATGCTCTACTAATGTTGAAGTGCATCCACCTCTCCTCAGGTTTACCATGGTGCTTTGGAGGATATATTGAACAACCTCCACAGTGAGCCTTACAGGCGAGCTGATGCGGTGAGGAGATCTCAGAGGAGACAGGGATCTGCAACCCCCAGGCTCATGCATCAAGGCTCAAATCTGGATGTATAGGTCTGTATCTTCTGCCTTTTCTGTATAGGCTCTATCATGAGTCATATCATTGTAAGAAGCTTATGAGAAGAAAGAGGTGTCCCTTTGCTGAAAAGGAGGTGATTCTGCCCTAGAATAAAGAAAAGTTTTTTTTTTTTATCACTATCAGCTGCAAGTATTAACACATGTGGGCTTATGCTTTTGGAGCATCAGTCTGAGGAAAATAATTTCAACAGGACTCATCTCATGAAACAATATACTGTTTCTTCAGTTTTGCTCCAGACACTTATGATTCCAGTGAAGCTTGACATGAAAGATTAGTTGTGCAGACTCAAGAAATGGATTTTATCCTCCATTATTGTTTCTTGCCAGAGATAATGATATTCTTTCTTATTTTTTAAACAGGCCCTGAGGCAGACTCCCCCTGAATATCTGTTAACATGCCATCCCCTGGATAGGAAGGGTGAGCCAGTTCTTAGAGAAGGGAAAAGGAAGCCAAAGCCTGGATTGAAGATGTCAGTATTTCACTCACCCAAGAAGGAAGCTCAACGTTCTTGTGGCGTCTCATATGTGATCCAATGTTTATGGATTCATGTCATAGAAAAATTGATTTATTGCTCGGATTTCTCCTATGATATGAGATGGCACTGGTCTTGCACGTATGCAGTCTTTGCAGAGGCTTGCCTACGTGTCTTGCTACGTTGTGCCTCAGAATGAGGATCTAGTGCTTCATTCCATGACATTTTTTTTCTATCCCCCTCCAAAGAAATGATATTGAGATATAAATCTTGTTTTTGGCCAAGTAGAAATTTTTGCATTGTTTTTGACTGCTCAAGGGCATTTCTTCCTCTGCTGTGGCAATCAAAAGCTCTTGTCTCTGTGCCATCTGATTTTTTGGAAATTCAAGAATAGCATATTAAACTTTGACTGCAAACTTAGGTATCTTCTTAGTTTGGAAAAAAAAAAGAGGAATTTTTCAGTTGTAACAGGTTGGAACCGTGCTGCCACAACCCTTATTTCCTTGTACCTTATCTATTATGATTTTTGTAGCTCACAGTGGTGAATGAGCTTTTATGTTCTTGTCCTCCCAATCTGGTCAATTCTCTGGCAAAACATCAAATAGAAAGTGATCTATTAAAGAATATGAAATTGTAGGATATGATTATTTAATGCTTCTTGCTACATCCAATCTGTTTTACTATTTTTTTTTTTTACTTTCCTTCTCTTTGTGCAACGATTTCTCTTTTTCTGTGTCTGGACTGCTTGACAGATCTGAAGGTTGACAAAATCTAGTTATATAAGGAATGTGGTTTGTTGTCTTTGTCAGGGTTTGTTTTGTATCCCCTTATGGTTTTTTCCTGTCTCTTTTGGGGCCTGTTGGGACTGTGTTTTTTTTTTCTACATATTTACTTCAAGGATGTAATTCCTTTTTATAGTATAACAGTTACTATGTTGAAGGCGAAGTTCTAGAGGATGACTGCCACGTTACAATCTCTCAACAGTAAGTATGAATAGGTTCTTGAATTGGTACCATGTTTTCCTATCTCTGAATGTGGCATGTCATTGGCCAATTTTTAGAAGTCATCTTGCAGGAACAAGGCATCTATGATAGTTTTGACATTCATTTACCACTCCAAGTACATAGTTCATGTACAAATGCACTCAAGAAAGTTGGACAAGGAGGATTCAAATTTGCAGTTAAAGTATAATTTAGACAACCACCTGTTACCAGTATAGTTACTAATGAATGGCTGAAACAGTGGCAATGGCAGTGTGTCATTCATGAAAAGACCTTTTAACCCTTAGTAATCGTGCATTCCTTCTTGGGACCATAGCACACAGACCAATTTGATCAAACCTGACCTCTGAAGGTAGACCATGTACTGGCAGTATTCTTATTGAGTAAGAACCAGATGTGGATGCAATTCATTGAATGATATGGCACAATGATGCTGTACAAGGGCACACAGTCCCAACAGCCCTAAGAACTCTTGTGGACCCAATTCCATGGACATGAACTGTCCTGTCTTCTTTGTTCATCACGTGTTACCTGAGAAGAAATTCCATACTTCGAAGTTGCTTTCAGCTCATTCTGTGCCTTCTTCCTCATTCTTTTCTCATGCCTTTTCTGTTTGAATGGGAAATTTTTTTACCTGGACTCTGTGACTGTGTCATTCAGACGATGCTTGCTTGGCTATGATGGGAAGTCTATCATTCCCATGGAGGAAGATTTCTAATAGTAATAAATTTTCAACTTGATGTCTTGTCACATGGTCCTGCTTTTTCCTTGACAAGATCCATGAAGTGATACTCTGGCCTCAGAGTATGGGTCTGTGGTTTGCCCACATCACAACTTACTGCTTTTCTCCTTTTAGAAGTAAAAAGGGGAGGAAAATGTCTCAGCAATTTTGAAATTTTTCTCTGGTTGATTATTGCAGTTGTATGTGAAAAAACTTTTACTCATTAGCTTCATTTACAACTGTAAAATGTGCACTATGTAATTATGCCTTACCAGATAATTTAAAAAATGTTCATTTATGCAATGAATGAACTATTTAAGGCAGTTTTCTTGATACAATTAATTTTCATCTGGCTATCTCCTGAGATGATTATTTCAGCTTTGAAGCCAAATTTGGGAATTGTTAGCATTCCTTGTACACGTCAACATTAACTATATTCACTGATTGATTTTTACAGATATTCAAGCTGCCAAGCAGGAGACTTGCCACTTATGAACATGAGGAGGACATTAGGAAGCCATACTGCCATACTTACAAGCCATATTTACAGGTTAACTGCAGATTGTGATCATGTATGCTTCTTGGGGGAGGTGCATGTGCCACCTTGTGAGACCTGTCCTTCACAAAAATCAGACCCTGCCTTAAATATTTTCTTTCTTCAGTTCATTGTATGGTTTCCCATGTCTTACGATCATTGATCTGTTGTTGAACCTAGTTTAACAAAGGTAAGAAATAAACGAGGAAGCAAATATTGCATGTGCTTGAACACTATTAATTTCAATGTAAGCGTAATAAGTTAAACATTTAATATGCTTTTTTTTGCTTTCCTTTACAATTTACCAGCTTTACCAATGCGACAAAACCACTGAGTGTTCAGAGGTGTGCCTTTCAGAGGTGCATCTTACCAATGCCTGCAGTGTTTTCTTCAAGAAAATGATGTGTAACAAGCCTTCATGTCTTATTGCCTTCATTAGATGAGTCAGTTACAAGCAGCCTGGGTTGATTCCCCTATGACTGAGGATCATGGATAGTTACTCTATGAGCATCCTGTTTCTTCTTCTTGCACCATTCTTGGGAGTGACAGCTGTGATCAATACTTCTGGCCTGTGCAGCCCTACCCCTATGTCCTGCGTGCATCAGGTACAGAAAATTTATCTTGTCTGCCTTTCCACTCATCAACACCTATCATAATGAAAAATTTTCAAGATAACCCTTGTATATACACCTGGCAGATATCATGGGAAGGAGTTGCAAAGGATTTTGATTCTTCCATAGAGTTCTGTATCTTCCAATCAGACAAGAATGAAGGTATCAGTTAATCCTGATTTGTCTCTTTCCTTAACAGAGAATATTTTATATTGATGTGTTTGGATTTACTTTGTTAGATATTGCCAGAAATGTTCGGTGTGAAGGCTGCTCGGAGCCCCCTAATCCTGTCGTTAGGGTTGAGTTGTATCATTTCACCCCTCGATGGATCCCCATCACCAATTCATTTGATTCTGTCATGGTCAACATCACCTTCCCCAACATCCAATGGACAAGTGAGTTGACATGCCACATAGACCTACCCCAATTAAACTACATGACTGCATGTGACTGCCATGAATAATTTTCTAACTGGAAAAGCCTGAAGAATGTAATTCCACAACAGCAAACAAAAACATGTATGAGCCTAAGACTGGCAACATTTTCTGAAAGGGCTTCATATTCAGTTAGATTACTATGATTACTATTGATGCTTTAATTGTAATGTAATAATTATTTGTGAGTCAACAGTCAACACTCCATATTCTGCCACCCTTGCTCATAGCCAACCTTTTCCTGGAAATAAATCTCCAGTGGCTTGTGATAGGGTATCACTATTATAGTGCCATTCTTACTAGCTACCATCTGCCAACACTCTCAGTTATAAAAACATGCTTTTCCTGTGTTATCCTGCCAAAAGGGAAATCCCCAAAAGCAGCTGAAATCTTTTTAAAATATTATTCCTTACTAGGCCTGAGTTTCTGCCTGACAGCCATAGCAGACCACAAAAGAAGATGCTATTCTGTCAAGATCTCAGATGGATTGAAGGGAGGGACTTTGTGGTTTGATTGCCCTCAACGGTTCATTCATCTCAGTCAGAGCAAATTTGTAAACCTGACTTACGCTGCATGGCCTCAGCTCTGGGCCGAGGAGCTCCTTTTCCCTGTTCCTGTCGTCTTGCAGTTACGTAAGTTTTTTACTTTTTTTGGAGGCTATCAAGTCTAAAATCCATGCAAAAGCTTGTGCACAAGAAAATCTCTTTAGTTGAATAGTGTCTTTAGTTCTAATATTAGTAATCTTTAATAATTTTTTCTCTTTTTTTTTCTTGCAGCCTCTATTGCTCAATCTTCCCAGAATCTCCGACTGCATGGGATCCTCCATGGTTTAGCTTCTTCAAAGCTAAAATTTGATCTCCTTCTCCCTCAGGAAGACTTTAATGCAAGCTTCTACAATATATCACTCATGACCCAGAACTTGAGCCTGGCAGAGCACATAATTTGCATGCCAGGCCATTTGTGTCCCAAATCTGGAAAGGGGAATCAAGAGCTGAAAACTGGATGGGTGACTGTTGAATGGGAGTTGGCAGAACTACAAGAAACATCCTATTCTGTTCATGTGTACATGTATGGGTCTGATTGCCCAGAAGGAGGCTGCCTTGTACATCATTCCTTCCCTATTCACGTTTCTTCTTTTGAAGGTCATCCTCAAAGTCAATTTTTTTTACAATATTATAGGCTATTGTTTCGGTTATTGTAGGTCTATCATTTACATATCCTAAACATAATGCTTGCACAGATTGGTTAGTGGATTCTGAGCAGACTTTTTCTCTTCTTATCTTCACCATATGTGACTCATTTGTCCCCCAGATCTCCATTGGAACAAAAGTTTTGTTTCTGTGCTTGCTGGTTCTGCACTCCTGGTTGTCTTCATCATCCCTTTGATTTTGTGCATTTGGTGCCGTCGTAAATATATGGAGAGTGAGTGGTTTCCTGCATTATCTTAATACCAAGCTGGGTTATGCTATTCTATCAGATATGCCATTTTTCATCTCTTAGGGAGGTCCATGCCATCGCAGATGCTGTTGATCTACAACAGTGACTTGCTTCCTCTGGCAAAAGCTGTGCATGCTCTTGCTGATCACCTGCATGCTGCAGTGGGAGTGAAGGTTCTCTCATTTCGAGACATCCCATGCAATATGGTCAGTCTGGTCCAGGGAATGTTTTATGCATGCAATGAGACCAAATTGTTCATCTTATACTCAGCTCTGTATAAGATATGGTGGAGTTAGACAGAATAAAATGTGTATTTTTTAGTTACTCATTTTTACAAACAATACTTATCTCTTTCTCCATTGTTCATGGATATCTATCAAGAGAATAGGCTTTCGTCATTTAAGTGGAATCTGATGATGCTGTAACTTTCACAAATGTCAGAACCCCCAGAGCTGGATGGTGGAGAGGTTGAAACAATCAGACATGGTGTGCATTGTTGCCGACCCTCACGTCGAATGGGAGAGGAGAGAGGCTGCTCTTCCGGTTGGTGGGTGGCTTCTCTATCAGCTGGGTGTGCACCTTGTGTCTGAGGCATCATTGAAAAATTATCCTCATGCTGGTCCATGCCAATACCTCCTCCTCCAGTTGTTTTCTTCTCCTCTGCATGACTCCTTGGCACATATCCCCAAGGTTCAGATTGGTGAGTCTGAAATAAGTGGTTGATTCTGATTCACCCTAAAAATGTTGATGTTAATGTAGTGTTCCCATGATCTGCCTACAACCCTTCCCTCATCAAGCATCAAATTTTTGTATTGGGAGGGGTTGGAATTGTTGCTACTCCTCTTCCCATACATGGAAGAAGGTGATTGTGACAAGTGAGAATTAGTGTTACAAATTTTAGCACCTTCCTTCAACTCTTCTGGCCAATCAGTGTCTAAGTTGCCATGACATGGGCTGATGTAATAAACACTGTATGAACTTAAAGTCTCTGAAGGGAGAGAGAAGTGAAGTGTTCCAGACTTTGCTGCTGCTGCTTCTGGGCACTGGACTAGAGACCCATTTGTAAATCTGAACCTTGCTATTTCTACTCGTTTGGAGCCAAGGGGCTTGAGTGCTGGTAGGAGATGGACTTGAGTGGATCTGATTAGAGCTAGATTCTGTTCCTTCCTGGTTTGGAGCCAGGAGGAACTGAAGAAATAGCAAGGATGAAGTTAGGAGTATGGGCTTATGGATGGTTGGGGCCTGAGAAACCCCTTCCAATTTTGTTTTAGCCATAATTGTCACCAGTCATGAAACAGTTTTCAAAACAATGCTGCATCGAGGGTGAGCCAAAGTTTTGTTTTTCCTTTTGAAGCCTTAGTTGCTTATATCTCTCAAGCTGAGGCTGTTTCATTTGCTAAGTTGTGGTGAGACATCCTGTACATGTTTTTCTGATTGACTTAATTTGAAACTCACTGTGTTGAATGCAGAGAGTAGATCAGAATAAACTAGATCTGTGTAAAACCCAGTCCATGTAGAAGTCTTTGCTTAACAGCTAATGATTCCACATTGACCAATGCAGACCTTCCCAAGTGGACATATCTACATTTTTTTGTTACAGGTAAGGCACTTTGCTGGTAGCTATCAAATTACCACATCATACTCTTGGCACTACCGGCCACAGCAGCATGTCACATTAGTGCTTTAGGAAGGTCTTATTGGCCTCATTAAGTTTTCTATTAATTATTTTTTCTACAGTTAAATTTTATCTGTTAACTGGATCCCCCTGCTGAAGCAACATCGTTTTGTCAATGCTTGTTCCAGGTGAGGACATCACTGAGTTCCTCTGTGCCATACACAGAGTGAAATATTCTCATCTCTGCAAGTGGAGACATGGTGAAATTCCAGGACAGGCATTGAATAAGACAGAGCCTGGGAGGCTATATCTGGATGCCGTACAGGAGTGCCTGGAGATTCTCGGCCGACTTCCTCCAAAAGTTGACGATGAATACGAGGAGAATGAAGCCCGGAGGCTCTTGAGCTCTCTTCCTCAAATTCAGGTTCCTGCCTTGATATCTGAGTCCAGGAGAGGTGAGGACCTGTTGATGCAGGAAATCGTGTCCGATTATCCGCCAGATGTCCACCTTGTTGCCAGATGAGAGGAAATTCTTGTGTTGCTCATGTGACACATTTACATTCCATTGGATTCCTTGCCTTCTGGCATTGCATCAGGGAGGCAGGAGTTTATGTTGGGAAATGGGATCTATCATGTGCATTTTGTTATTTAACAAGATTGTGTCTCTGTTTGAATAACAGCACTTGTATGAGGCAAATGATCAAAGTTTACTTGGTTTATATGTTTTGTGGTACAGCACTGTCATAGCTTTGTCGATATTGTGGCAATCTAGTCTAAGCTTACTGGTGGTGATGATGCTTCATGATATAAAATATCTGTGTCCTTGGAGGAATATGTTTTATGCAATATGGGATGGTGTCATGTTGGTGTTCATGTACGTTCCATCCAATTGGTTTCACAATATTTGTATATTCTTCATGCATAGTTGCTGCCTCTAACATTCTCAACTGTACTATGTGTCTGTACTGGCTTCTTTGGCTATCCTTGTTGCAGTGGCTGCAGTACATCTTCATGAATATAGACTTAGCACTACCATTTAACATAGGTCATTCTTTCTTCTCAAGCAGGTTTTTTTCTCTGTTAGCTGTGAACTGAAATCAATTAACATCCCTGTCAGTATTAAGATTTAAAAAATTTTTGAAGTTGCGGTACTTAGATAGCCAGAACAGTAAGTCCCAGACAATGTAACCACATTTTCTAGCTTACCACAAGGCTAGCAGCAGTAGTCTAATTCTTTTGCCATTGTACAAAAAGGAAAGAAAAGATGATCAGGGAAGAAAGAAATTTAAAGGCAGGTACTAGGCATAAGCCTAGTAGACATGCATGCAAATTGAAAGCTTGATATCTTAGGGGAGAGAAGAGAATCAAAGAATATGAGGAATGATGGGGCATTCCTGGTGAATGGAACATCTGCCGTTAAAGCTCAGTTAAGAATCTGTGAAATACTTCGTGTTGTGATATGATGTGATATGAAGTGTAGTAAGAGTTTAGTAATATGCAAGTATGGTATATGTTTATTAATATGTATATGTCTTTTGCTGAATTTGAAATTCAAATCTCATGAGTGGTGTGGTGGAGGCATATTTTGTTATGGTGCAAGTGGATTCTGTTTTGTTGATATGGGTCTCATTGTGTTGATGTCAAATTATATTCTTTGCGTTTTTTATCACTAAAGTGAGTAAGTCATTGATAATATTACATATTGTAGACCTCTTGGCCCCTCACGTTCTGAAAACATTGACTCCATGACCGCCTGTTACCAGTGGTTGGTTACAGTGTATTGTGATGAATTGCACTCAACTAGATCGGAGAGGAGACGTCATTCGTCAATGAATGGTAGCTGTTGGCTTGTGACCATTACTGGGAAGAGGCAAGAATCCATAAGGTGTTAAAAGGAATTAGAAATGTAAGAGATGAATTGACAATTGAAGAGGCAGGGTCATCCAAAGAGCTGTTATACAGTAGTCTGTCCGATCCAACTTTGCCACGCCAGCATTGCATGTTTTATGGTAGCTCATTAATTTTGTGCTGTCATCAGCCTGTAAAAACGTTGGAAAGGCTATCAGTGCCGGACCGAGATGTTCCTGGCACTCATCAGGAGTCTTACCAAGATTTCTAAAATCATTCCTGCGTGATGTCCCTCCCCCCCCCACCCCGTCGCACCTGCGTCTGGCAGAGGGGTAAAAGGGAAATCACCATCTCCCCTCAGGGGAGAGGAAGATGGATGGCATTTAACGACTCCTTTGGGAATAAAAAAAGGAGCAAGGTTGGACCGGATAGGCAATACCAGCTCTGCAGATCAACGGCATCCTTATAATTGATTTTCTGGAGTCTCTAGTGGGCGAATCGGTTAAAATCAATTTCCTTTCCCCCTGCCGAGTCTGGCAGCTTCGTTTAACAAGGCGCACAACGGTAGAAATGCATGGGTGTAGTTTCTATGCGTAGCGGTTTTCAGCTCCAATTGGTTTAATAGCATGAAAGTCGCCCACATGCACGAATATGGCTACCGTGGTGTCAGCAAATATGAATATAATGGCTTTGTTTCCATAATCGCCATCGGATGACCCTGTCTCGCTGAGTCATAGGTCCTCGGTCGAGTGAAAGTCAATTGGAACAATGTGTGCAAATTTATATTTGATCGGTGACTGAAAGGATACAAGAACCACCATCCGCATTATTGCACGAATCTTGGACAGGACAGGGAAAAAAAAGCGTTGCATCGGCCGGGAATCGAACCCGGGCCGCCCGCGTGGCAGGCGAGCATTCTACCACTGAACCACCGATGCTTCTATTAGAAAAAGGGCAGCACAGGCCCCATAGATACACGAACGCATGGGAGGCAGACCGCGACAGCTGGAAGGCCGCGTTGCATGGATGCAGTCTCACATGGGTCATCGCCCCCTCCCCCCCGGTTTATCGTGTCAATGTGCGATCTGAGTTTCGCGCATGCGCCGTGGAGTTCCATTATCCCGAGTCTATGACGTGGATAAAAAAAAAAATTGCGGGGGGGGATGTAAATGCTTTTGAGACTCGCGATGGCATCATTCTCTTTTCCGGGGAATCTCTGCGTTCCTGACTAGAAAGCTTCTAATGACGCTAACGACCTGAGCGGCCCCATTACTTTTTCCGCTGTCTTTCTTCATCGTTACTGCGGTGATACCGCGTCAAAAGCAGAAGTTTCCAATTTTGTATTTGCCCTAGTTCTCTTCGAGGCTCGGAGTTTCAGGCGCTCGGCATTTTATACTAACCAGACGCAGTTAAGTGTTCCAGTGACGGCGTTTAAGGAAACTCCATCACGGAATTGATCGTTTCAATTAGATCGCTTGGTTCGAACAGTCTGCCGACAGATGGCAGCAAGTGTCACCAAGTCATTGCAGCAGATGTACAACTGCAGAACATGATATTTGCAAATGTATCTCAATAGTATCGTCGCACCAACGGGGGGGAGATTGCAGAGATTCAAAACGTTTCGTTCTTGCTCCCCCATTCAAAGAGACTTCGTGCAATGCTCAATAGCATGAGACAGCTGAAGTCCATTGGGCTTTCTTTTGAAGACTCTGAATGTCTGCGATCGGACTGGCCCCGTGCAGCGGGGGAGATTCCTCGCCTTCATCCGGCCGTCCTCCTTCGGAGCTTCTCTCGGTCTCCACTAGATGTCCCGGCGAGCGGGATGGTGGCCTCGCCCTCGTTCCCACGCTTCTGCGAGGTGGCCCGTCCTCGTCGCGGCATCGAGCCTCCTTCTGTGCCTTCAATAATGAACCTCAAAGCGTTCTTAAAAGATGAGTGCGAGGCGAGGATAGAAAGAAATTCGACCTGTCGAGTCGCTTCAACTGTACAATTTAAGAAAATGGAAGTTCTAACAGGAAATTTTATCTCTTTCCCCCTTTCTTCCCCCCCCCCCCCCTTACCTCCTCCGCCTCCCACTGGGAGGGGATTAGCATTGAGGGCACCGAAAATCGAATTAGAAACACGATAGCCCGGGAGCAGGTGCAAAATGCGGCCAGCAGGAAGGTAATCTGTCAGACAGGACGACACAGACCGAAGTAATTTCATCCTGTCCTGTAATACTTCCCCCCTCCTTCCTTCCCCCAGCATCCTTCCTTGCATAATGAATGTTTTTCGGCCGTTCATCGAAAAGGCACAGGTCGGACTATTTTCGGTTTTCAAACGAAAATTTCCTCGCAGTTAAAAATCTTAAGCAATAATTTATTACTTTAATCCGTCGTTTCCGCAAATTCGAGCGATCTCGCGAGAATTTTTCCCGAATCCACTCTTATTTGCGAGAGAAATCGCATGATAAAATGCGACCAGACCCAAACGGACCCCCAAAATTTAAATATTAAAAATTCGAAACAAATCGAGAAAATAAGTTTTCATGTTTAAAAATATTTATTTTTCATATATATAAAAGGTTTTTTTTTTCCCGTCCACAATGATGAGGGAGTCCCATCGATTCGGCTTCTGCAAAGAAGACGAAAAAAGAATAGGGAGGACGGCGAGAGGAGCCCACCTATTGTCATCCCATTGCCATCCCATTGCCATCCCATTGTCATCCCATTGGCATCCCATTGCCATCCTCCGCTACCCAATTTCAACTTTCAAAGGGAATTGGAGATTCCTCCGATCTGCCCGCGTTCTCGGATTTCCTCTTTTTTTCTCGCGTCTGTCCTGGTCTGATGTGCTGATTCCCTTGCGATATTTGGCATGCACGGATTGGCACAAAAGATGTTCAGCAGCATGAGAGCGCGCAATTTTCAAATGTAGACACGCATCAAGTTATTTAAATAAATAAATTTAAAAAAAACGCTGATTTCTATGGAAGAAGGGAAATTCGTAATTGCGATCAAGTTAGATGAGCGATCGGCACGGAGAAGGCTCCGAGTGTTTGCAAATTAATTGAGCTTTGCAATTAGAGTTGTTCCCGGATGATGCTTCCAACCGTTATTCATTTTTTTTGCCCTTCGCCTTTGCCCTTTGCCCTAAGATTGCCCTAAGATTGCCCAAATCCTTGAGATCCTTGAGAGAATTAAGACCGACGTCGCTCCTTTACTCTCCACGGCCGCAGCGGTGAGTGGAACGCGCTAAATTTAGATATGAGATTTTTCCAGGAATGCGCGGAAGAAAGCAGCTCTGACGTGCGCCGCAGATTTGGACTTCGTCGTATGGAACGGTTTTCGCGAGCGTCGACTGCAATATATTATATAATGTAATAGAATATCATATTAAAATGCCCAGGGCCTCGACCCTTGTCGAGATCGATGATTTTGGGTTCAAGGCTAATTTCACCGTAAATCCGACTGCATGCCAAATTTATTTGGATTCCGAGACGGTCGAGCCCAGACAACAGGCGCGCCTGTAAGGAAATTTGCACTAATTGCGCAATGGAATGACTGAGACATTCGAGCGCCTTCCAGCCTTCGAATTCCGAGGCATCTGTGTCACGGATGCTTTTTTGTCAAAATAAAGTGAAATGAAATGAATAATAATGAAATGAGATAATAATGAAAAAGTAGCACGAAGGAGTTAATTGATCTTGATCAAATTTCGCAAAAAAGTTTGCAGCTATCCTGAAGTCGATTTGAGAACCAAGGATGAATATTCACGAAGAAAACTTGGCAAGCACCCCAACTTAATGAGGTCGCACTAATCGCCCATAACGAATATTCAGAAGGAGGTTATTAATGAAATGTGGAACTGGAACTCTTAATGATGCGCGGGAACGTCGAGAAAAGTTCCAGGGTGAGGCGGGACGGAGAAAACTTGCTGAACGACAGAGGAATGGGGTTGGCTTCGCTGACGACGCCTGCTTTTTTTTTCTTTAACAATTGCTTCATTTTTCTTAACAATTGCCTTCTTTCTTAACAATAGATTCCTTTTTCTTAACAATTGCCTTCTTTCTTAACAATAGATTCCTTTTTCTTAACAATTGCTTCATTTTTCTTAACAATTGCCTTCTTCCTTATTAACAATTGCTTCCTTTTCTTCTTCGTGAAGCCACGCCTCGTCAGAGTCTCCGGAGGCGATTTAAGCGATTCGGATGCATGCGTCAGATTCATGCTTCAGCCTCATGCATCGGCGCGTTTCACGGCCGCTTATTGATGGCCCAGTAGCGGAGGAGCTTGGGGGAAGAAAAATGCAAAAAATGCAGCAAAAAAAGGTCCCTCTGCATGGCATTAATTAATTAATCTGGCAATTAATGCGACCTCCCCTTTAAATAAATTTGCGTAGCAAGTTTTTTCTGTGAGTGTTCATCATATTTGAAATTTGGGCCGCCAAGGATTTAATCGACCGATCGATCAATTAAAGGTTTAATCGCAATTTTAAAAAATTAACCGAATTTAAAGCGACCCTCAAATCTCCACCTGAATTCCTTTTTCTTTTTTTTTTTCAAAGATGAGGGTCAATGCCCCACACAGC